TTGGTGCTTAACGCAGAGAGGCGTTGACTGTACTACTACTACATGATGGACGGCGGAAGGAAACTTGGTGGCGGAAATCAACGGGCAACGGTTGAGTTGCTGTGGCGAGATAATGACGGGGAATGAGAGAAGATAAACTCGAAAGGACAAGAATGATAGAAATTCCTGATGCAAGTGCTTGTTTGTTTGTGTGCAGAGCAAAGTGAGGGTTGGATTGTCATGTCACGATGGCTCGAAGACAAAGGTCTTGGCTCGCTTGGCCCATGTCAGTGAATGCAAACAACCATCTCTTGAAGAGGCAGTGGGCGGGTGTTGAAACTCGGAGGAGGGATTAGAGCACCATGATGGGCTGACATGGATTATGCTGGAACGGGAGATGGCTGATGCGGAGAGTATCTGTAGCATGAACCGGGACGCAGATGGCGAGACAGTCGGGCACGAAGAAGGTTGGCACATGGTTTATGCAAGGAAGCGAGTCGTGTTTGCTGGGACAAGGACGAAACACGGGAGGTGGGAGGTTGGGTAGAGGGTGCGTGGTTGGGTGGGTAGTGTTACAGGGAGTACGGATGTATTGTTGTCGATAGCTTCTTCTTCATGATGGCTATTGTCACTATAAACACCATTTTTGAGAACCTCACATAGGCCAACGGACAGAGTTGAGATGAAGGAGAGCTTCAAGCCGTCAACAATGTCGTTGAAATTGGGGGAGCGCCGTTGGATGGACTGAGACTAGGACACCCGCTGATTGGTCCACACCGTTGAGAATTGCCAAATGTGAAACAGGTCTAGAATTAGCGAAAGTTGAAAGTCCCCCACCAAGATTAGCCAGGAGCTGTACCTTGCAGAAGCGCGAGACCAGGGTCAGTGAGAGTCGTCGTCGAGGACAAAGGTTCGTGAGCCCATGACAACTCAGAGATACGAAGAGTCGGAGAGGAGGTCTGTTTCGGTTGCCGCTGACAAAGTTACATTCGCGCTGGTGTTTGCCATCGGGTTAGCGGGCAAACTCGATGATCGACGGCATCCCGGTCGAGAATGTCTGTCTGTAACAGTGGGTGACGTTTGATTGTCGGAAAACGCAACATGCAGTGTCTCCCGATCACGGTCTGGCGTCGATGCTGTGACGGCGGGAGAAACATCTCTTTCCTGCTCGAGTCTGTGCGCCGAGCTGTACACGATAGCCATCCGCCCCCTGCGCAATCAACCTGCGACGGCCACTCCCTTTTGGTGTTGCTGCTCAGCAGTGATCCCGCCGCGTGACCTCGTTCACGGGTCTAGCCTTGATTACTTGGCGATATGGCCTGAGAAGCGGACTCTATGTGTAGATTAGTTGGAGGTCATTTGGCGTGAAGGATGCTCGAGGATTGAGGCTAACGGTGACATGTCCATGCAAGAGTGGGATCGCGCCTCTTCTAGCGACTGAGCCATTCAAAGGAGGAGGTATTGTCACGCCTTGTCTGCGGCGTCAGGTAACATACCTGGTAACATGATGACGGCTCACGCGTTAGCTTTTCTGTTAATCCATGGATCTGAGTGAGGTACTTTGGGCTAGAGCATCTCGAAGCAGACCATGCCTCGGAGGTTCCTTCCCATCCGGGATGCTCCCTGCCAGCCCCATCTTGGGACGGACTCGCCAGATTTCTTCCTTCCACTCTTGAGCAACACAACATCCATACACGTTGGGGACTCGAGACCTTCTTCTCTTCCTTTCTCTTCTCACCACCTGCTTTTTGGCTTCATTTCTCTCATGCGCGACCTGGAGGCTTGACGTCTTCATTTCACTATAACCGCACTTTTTCATCTGCTTCTTCATACGCTCCTTCCAAACCCCCGTCCTATTTCTCCGTCGCCTACTCGGTGATATTTTCTGGACCGCCCTTTTTCTAACCCAACAAAACGAACGATTTCGTTGTGTGTCCCACTGGACGCTTCTGCTTCTTGTAGCAAACAAACCGCTGGATGGGCTTGCGAAACGAATTGATGACCCCGATCCCGTTCATGACGACGAATCCCGCCGTATCCGACCTTCTATCTTACATTGTCTGAGAATCGGCGCGGATGAGATTAAGCTCCCGTCTTTCTCCATTATCAGCAACTCGACCCGTGTTTGCTCCGGTTGCACCAACGGCTTGAAGCCCGCATCGGATATACAACCCCAATTCTTTCTTGTCACTCCTTTACAGTCAGAGATCTCCCTTCGAGAACGACCTGGTTTGCCGTCTCCGGAATCCTGACCTTATCTTACAACCTCTCTGAGCTTTCCTCGATCTTCGATTTTCGACTCCCATTCAACCGTCCAAACTTGATTGTTTGGTTCACTTACACTCATTTCTAAACGAATTCATCATGTCGGCCCCGACTCAATCCAAGATGTTGGTTGTGCCGCCAGCGCTGAACCTGCGCCGAGCTGGCGCTTACAACGCTCAGGATCGTGGACCTCTTTCTTCTACCACTTCCAGATTCAGCTTCAACCACCTTCTCTTCTCTCCGCCACCTTCGCCAGCTCTTCCTGCGCTGGTACCTCGACCCCCGAAGAGGACCTCGAGTCAGATCCTGGTTACTCGGCCGAGCCGAGTGTTTCGACGACTCTTCCTCCTCGGAGCGCTGCTTTCGATTATCTATCTCATGGGCCTGGCCTTTCAGAACCCCGATGTCATTCCCGCCGCCGTCTGGCCTTACTTTGGCCAGGAAGAGTTTGAGATGGTTGGACAATACGACCTGCCCGACTTCCCGACTCCTATCCTCATCAGTGACAACAAGGGTCGTTCCAAGTGGACTATTTCTATTCCTCCAAAGCACGATTTCCCCCTAACCATGGAACAATACGCCGAGATGGGTAGCCAGTGCCGAGAAGTGTCTTCGCGAGCCCGAGACCTCCACCGTAAGGCTCCAATCACCGAGCAGGAGATTGTGAACTATGATGCCCAAGACGATTATTTCGTTGACATTTACGAGGCTGAGAGGTCCGGTCTGCTGCCACCGGGCAAGGGAATGCGGACTAGGGGCAAGGGCAAGTTCGTTGGGCTGGATAAGAAGCACATGAAGTACAAGCCTGTTTGCGAGAGCTCCATGACCTTTGTGCTTGAGACTTCGGATGCCGGCCTTGGAAACACGCTCATGATGCTGTGGACTTTCTACGGACTCGCCAAGCAGCAAGGCCGAGACTTTTTTATCGTCGACTCCCGCTGGGCTTATGGTCCCTACACTGAGATCTTTGACGCCCCTCCTGTCCCCGATTGCCGACCGCCTCCACGACACCACATGGTTCCTTGCCCCTTCCAGGCCCGTCACTTGGTTGTCTCTGCGGCTACAGCAAGGGAAGTCTTCCCCGCGCTGTTGGCCAAGAACCACCGTATTGCCGGCACCGACAACCCTGTCAAAGACCTCTTCCAACTGGCACGCACTGGATTCGAGGATCTTTTCGCCTTGAGCGAGGATGACCAGGCTTATGTCGATAACCGTGTGGTTGGCCTTCAGGCCAGGGCCAAGATGGGAGACACACTCACCACTCGTGCGCCCATTGTTGGTCTTCACATTCGCCATGGTGACCAGCATCCGCTCGAGTTTCAGTATCGTGACAACTACATCCCAGCCGAAGTCTTTCTCAAACAGGCCGAAGAGTTTGTAGACGAACACTACAACGCATCCGAACTCGAGGATCCCAAGCAGCGACACTACATCACCCTCCTCGCTTCGGATGACCCGACAGTGCAGGAAGAGCCTCAGTTTTCAAACGTCGTCCTCTCCCAGGACCGAATCCGGCTGGCCTCGAAGGGAGCGATCGACCAGGCCCACGGCAGCTCGGAGCTGCTCCACAACTTTGTTGAAAAGACGTTTGGCTGGGAGGGCGGATTCTTTGCCGCCATGTTCTGGAACCTGGGCGTTGACAGCAAGAACAATGCTGCCGAAGCCCCTGCTGGAGTCAACGTTCAAGGCGTGAACGAAGAAGCCAGACACATGGCACCACCATCAGAGGAAACGCTGAGATTGCGAAGCCTCATTGGGCGTGCGTACATGATGGACCTTGCTGTACTCTCCGAGTCCAGTGACAAGATTGTGTGCGCAGTGAGTGCCATGGGATGCCGCCTGCTAGCCGTCATGATGGGATGGGAGGACGGCATGGAGAAGGGTGGCTGGAAGAACGTGGATGGATCGTATGGGTGGACTGGCATTGACTGGTAATGGCAGTCACCCAAAATTGGAGAAGGATACGATAGTATCTTCTCATCCATCGTTGAGTTCATAATCCACCATCTTTTTTCATGAGGCAAGGCAGGCATTGGGTGGCGTTGGTCGGCGTTGATTCTGGAAAGCAGCATGATACCGATCTTTTCTCTTTTATTTTACTTTTTCGAAAAAAGCACTTGAACATACAGTATTGGACAAAAGTCCTTTAGAAGCAGATATTCTAACTTCCAAACCATTACCCTCTTTTCAGTTGATGAGCTGTTGCTTCATTTGCGTTGTGAGATAGCTGGTGTAAGTGGCACACTTTGCTGCCATGTTAGCTCCTGACGTATCCAACCATTTTCTAGCAAAATGAGTAATTGGTGGTGAAGTTTGAATACGGATGAATTTCTAGTTAATATTCCTATGCAAGCACTTGGAAACTGCATGTGTTTGTTGTTTATGAATGAAATTCATATTCAATTGTTCAGGCACCAGACTGGATAAAAGCGGGTCCAAGCCACTCAACTCTGCGCTCATCATCATTGTTCCGCGCAGGAGCAGGCGCGGCTCGACCCTCGACCCAAATCGTGCTTCATTCACATGAGCTCCAACATTGATACATTGATTACGGCATTTGGCCACTCTCTCAGCATCGCCTCGCCTTGCTGAGGCCTTCTACTTTTAATTCTACTTCCGACGCGATCGAGATACCACCGGCCGAATCGCGATAGCTCGTCCACTTATCGACCTTGATCTGCGCCGAGCAGAGAAGCTCATCACAGCCAGCCTCGTTCACGATTCCTCCTCGAGCCTAGAGCTCCCCCGTCGCCGCCATGTCTGGCTCAGCACCCGGTTCCGATGCCGCGCCTGCAGCGCCCCCGAAGCCTCGTCTCAAGATCAACGTGAGCCGGTCCTCATCCTTCGTCGAGGCCAAGACCAAGAAGACCTCCTCCGCCGCAGCGACTCCCACAGAGGGCGGCGGCCCCCGCAAGGTCAAGCTCAAGATTGGCAAGTCGCAGCCGACGACGCCCGCAGAGCCCCCGCCGCCAAAGACAAAGGCCGGCAGGCAGACCAAGCCGACCCAGAAGCTCGTGGAGAGCAAGAAGCGCGCCCACGATGAGCTGGACGATGATCTCCCCCTATCTGCCGCCCAACAGCACCTGGCAACAAAGATCAAGCTCAAGGCGTCAAAGTCGGGCGTCACGCCCACGCTGGTCGTGAAACCAAAGGGGCGCGCCCCCGTACACCCGCCAGGAGACGGCTACGATTCAGAAGCTAGCGATCGCGAGAAGGACCCTTCGATCGAGGAACAGTTTGTCCTGAGGATGCCGCCGGGAGAGCACTGCGAATATGTGCGGCAGTGCATGGAAAATGGAAAGATGGGCATTGCGCGCGCTCAGGGAGGAGCCGACGTCCAGCTCAAGTTCTTCGAGGAGGACACGCGGCGCGCCGTCATGACAGTCAAGGGTCAACCCTTTGCCGCCGTCATGGTCGATCTACCTACTATCACCGAGGCCATGAAGACATGGGATCGCAAATCGTTCCTCAAGTCGGCCGACATCTGCCAGATGCTCCTCGTTTTCCAAAAGGTCTCCAATGAAGCCGAAGCGAGACAAGCGCCTTTACCGTCAATGATTGACCAGCACTTTCGATGGCCGCACGGTCTAACACCGCCTATGCACGACTGTGTGAACCGAAGATTCGCCAAGACCATCAGCCGTAAAGAGATCGAGGATAAAGAGGCAGAGGTCGAGCGCTTGCTGGCCGAGGACGCCAAGGCGGGTTCAACGCGATGGGAGTGGGTCGACGAGAGGCAGCAGGAGGAGGACGAGTACGGAGCAGAAGAGGATGCCGAGGGCGAGATGGACGACGGCATGGACTACTTCCAGAGCCAGGATGTGTTTGGCGACGACAACGATCTCGAAGCCGACCTCGAGGCCGCCTTTGCCGACGACTTGTTCGCCGAGACCCCCGCAACCGGCATGGATGCGCCCACGCCTCTCACAACGACACAGGTCAACACCCCGGCGGCCATCCACGATAGCATCGAGGCAGACGAGTCTGAAGAGGTCTCTGATGATGACGACGATGACGATGACGACGAGGACCTCGATGACGATGCCCGTGCCCAGCGTGATGAAGAGCAGGGAGTCAAGGATATTATCAATGACCTCAAGAAGCAGCTGGCCAACAAGCAGGCTGAGCTGGCTCGCACCCAGAACAAGATCCTGCGTACTCGTATCGAGCAGACCATCAAACAGCTCAAGTCGGAGATTGAGCTCAAGAATTCCTCCATTGGCATCGAGACCGATGACTAGATGGAGACCGAGCATCTTGCAAGGCGGACTTATACAGGCTATGCACTCTACCCGTGGCATATTGTTATACTGGAAAACAGGCTACACGATTGGAGAATGGCGTACGGTGTCACCCAAGGTTTGGGAAAAGGGATGTTTGATTATCGACTTAGAAATACCACTTTCAATTCCATCAACATTAATACGTATCCCTTCCTCATGGTCTACAACAATATCTCGCCTATCTCCATCACACTTGTCCGAAATTCCTTCTTACTTGTTCTTCTACCACCATTCTTCTTGGCTCTTTAGAAAAGGTTCTCATTTTCATCGCCAGGGCTCATCAACTTCTTTCACCAACAAATCCGCTTCACATCTGCCCCAACAACTGCACAGTTCGGTGTCTCTTGGTGACCAATACCTCTGTCGCTGCATCAATCACCTCCCGCCAAGTCACCCTGTGGCAGAGCTCCGTGAGATCATGAGGACGCCATGGCTTGCCAGTTTCCATCTTGATACGCTGGAAAACCCGCTTCTGGATCGCCTGTTGAAGCACCTTGGCAATGCCAGTGTCGCGTCGCCCTTGCTTCATAAGATAGTTGGCAATGAACTCGGGGTCTGGACACTTTGTCATTTTGTGCTCTCGGTTCCAGCGTTTGGTTGAGTTGATGGTCTCAGTAATTCGGTACTCATGATCCGAAGAGAGGGCAACCTCTAGAACAAAGTTAGCAACCGGCAACGGTATTTTAACAGATTAGAGATACTTGCGTTGTTGTCGATTGAGGACAACGACATTCAACTTTTCTCGACGCATCGCACGAGTCTCCATTCTCGGGGTTGACTGGCGGGCTGGCAGAGTCCGAGTAGCGGAGGGAGGGGAGGGAACACAGGGCACAGAGGGCACATGAGCATCTGGCGTTTGGTTGCTGCCCTCCATCTCCTTAATCTTTTCAAAAAGAGGATTGAGCTTTTCAAGTAGGTTTCGATCCCTCTGAGCATTGAGTTGCTGGTTTTGATCCCTCAGAGCATCGAGTTGTGCTCTGATATCATCCACCTCCGCCTTCCATTTCCCAGCTTCTTGAGCCATCTCTTGCTGCAGCTTGTCAATATCAGCCCGGGTCACGGAGGGTTTGTCGCCATATTGAGCCAATTTCAACTTGACAGCTTCAACCTCTTGCATATACTTTGCCAGGGTAGCCTCATTCTCACGTCTGAAATCTTGATCGTTGGCGGTCTTGGTGACGAGGCGCCGGACATCACGCTCGAGGCGCTGGACATGTACGTTGAGGTTTCGAAGGCTGAGCTCAAAGGTCATGCTCATCAGAGCTTGAACCTTGGCCTCGTACTTGTTGGTTGATCTGGTTGTCTGGTTTGCGCGGTTCGCGGACAGTGGTGATGAGGATAAGAGGGGGTAGCGATACTGGGACTGGCTTAGTTCAGGGGAGACAGGAAGCTGCAGCTGCACCACAGGGTCAGAGCGGCGGCGATAACGGTCCATCTATGCGAGACTGTAGATCACAAGGATGTTGCGATGGTTGTCAATATGTTGGATGAAGCAGGTTTGGTGGATTCAAGTGAGATGGACGAGAGGAACAGAATCCAGTGAAGGTGGTTGAAGAAGGAGAGTTTTAATGAAGTTTGGGGAACAGGAGCAAGCTCGTTATCTACAACCGGTGATGGAGGAAAGAGGCATCCAGCTGCCTGCCTGTGGCAAGAGGTGAAGAGGTGTGGGAGAGGAAGGAGCTCATGAAATCCACTTACACAGTTGAGGGAAGGCACCCAACAGACGACAACATCACCATCAAACCCGGCGTCTTGGCAGAATGGATGTCTTTCCCGCTGGTTGATAATAAAGGCCCGGCGAGTCTCAACGTGGATTCAGACGTAGGGATAGATAAACAATTACATACTTGATTCTCTGCATTCGGCTCTAGAGTTCGCACAAGTAGACTCGTGCAATAACTGGATCCCCTCGCAGCTCTCTGTTACTCCAAGTCTCCGATAACTTGAGCATCCTTTCCCTTCTTCCTCTCCTTTGCAATCCATCGCAGAAACATGCCCACGTCCTTCGCAATCTGTCCCGCCAAGCCCAATTTCTGCACCCACATGGGCACCAGTCCTCTCGCATCAGACGCCGTCCCCATCACCCACTCTATCCTCCCATCCGCCAACTCCCTCACCCTCTCAACACTTGTGTACGCTGCCGGTACTACACCCTTATGGGAAGATTCATCAGTCTCATCGTCTGCTTGCATGGCGATCTGGACAACAAGAAAATCCCTCTGGCCCTTTAGCGAGGTTGTGGCCTGTAGAACCTGAAAGACGCGGCGAGTGAGAGGGCCTGGGAGCTGATGAACCGCCTCTTCACGACGAAGCGTCCAGTCCGTCCATGTCGTACCCTCAACTTCGACCTCTATCCCCTTACAATCCCACTCTTGCAGCCTTGACGAGCTCAAGACGCTCGGTGTAAAAGCTGTTTCCGCCTCTGCATGCTCCTCTTTGAAACACCTCAAAAACTCATCCCAATCTGCAGTCCCCTCTTCTTTCTTCCCAATGTGAGTACTCCGCCGCAATGCCCAAGTTTCTGACTGAACATTGCCTGGCTTGATGCCAAGCGACGAATGAGTCTGGGCAAGTGCGTCGAGGGTTTCCGAGTCGACAGTGCGCTCAAAGACATGCACAGGAGCCGTAGAGCCTTCAAATGTCTTTACTGACTTGTGCTTCCATAACTCAGTAGGACTGCGTAGCTCTGTGGTATGATCTGAGGTTGGACCTTCGGATGGTACGGAACTGATGAAGGGGAGAGCCTCGATGAGGATTGAGGCGAGAAGGATCTTGAGCTCCTCGGTTTTGGCTCCTGCGGGTGGGAGTTTCGATGGATGGATGCCCCAAAGGCGAACAAGAGGACCATATGACTCGCTCATGGTGTTTTCGGTAGATAGACTCTCCTTGAACTACCTAAGGGAATATAGGTAGGTAAATCGAGAATGCTTGTCGGGATGAAAGAAATTGAAATCTTGATAAGCTGTTTCGTATTGAATATGTATATGTGATGAACTCAGAAGAGTAGGAGCAAGATCTGTTGAGAATGTGTGAGAATGTCCCTGACAGGTATGAAACCGTCAACAGCCATCAACTTGCCCCTAGTAGTCGTCATTGATGGAGGCTCTCGTCTAAGTGGGGGCTAGTTCACATTTCCAAGGCAAGTTCATCCAAGACACACATCATCTCATTCCAAAACCACCGGCAACATTAAAAACAATAAACAAACCAAAAATACATCAGTTTAACCATTTCTTATTAAATATGTATAAGTCTATTGCCAGAGCTTTGCCGGCATTGCATGGCAAATGAGTTCTTTTTTTAAAACCCAGACCAATCATTATGCACTCAACTCCTCAGCACGCCCATCGCATTGCCGCGTATATACAAGTGGTTTTCGTATTCTCTCATCATTTGTGTCAGATTTCGAATCTACTGGCGTCTCTCCCAGCGAATGTTGGCAGGCTCCAGGGGTCGCGAGAAGAGCGAGGCGTAGTCAGTGCCGATAAGAGTGTTGCCACCGTCGACGTTGCTGAACTTGAACTCCCGGACAACCTCGGCCACAATGGTCTGCAGTTGCACGTTGGCAAAGTGCTCGCCGATGCAGCGATGACGGCCAGCACCGAAAGGCAGGTAGGGAGAAGCGGAACCCTTGCTGACAAGGCCGTAACCGTAGTCGATCTTCTCCTCCTCCTCGGCGTTGTTGCGGGCAATGGTAGGGGCGTTGGGCGAACCGGCCTCCCATCGGTGAGGGTCCCACTCATCGGGGTTGGGGAAGTAGGCAGGGTCGGAAGCGCTGACACCGGGGGCGGCCAGGAGAGTGTGCGAAGTCGGGATAACATACTTGGTTCCGGGAACGGGCATAGGGGACTTGACGGCGCGCATGATGGAGTGGATAGGGGCGTGGAGGCGGAGAGTCTCCTTGATGATGGCCTGGTTGAGAGGAAGCTTGGCAAGATCCTCAAACTTCAGAGGGGGGAGGTCGGCACCGAGAGCCTTGACCTGCTCCTGGTAGAGCTCCTCCATGATCTGGGGGTACTGGGCGAGACGGAGCATGATCCAAGAGCTGGTGGATGAGGAAGAGTGCTGGCCGGCCATGAGGAGGGCAATCATCATGTGGGCGATCTCGTGGTCGGGGACGGGGGTGCCGTTCTTGTAGGTCGAGTTCATGAGATGCTTCATCATGTCGTGCTCGCTGTCATCGTTGTCCTTAATGCGGCGCTCCCTGATGGTGTCCATGTAGATCTTGGCGACGGTTCGCTGAGCGTGGTCACGCTTGCGGTTCCAGGGGAGAGGAGCCCAGTGAAGCATAAAGTTGATGGGGGTGAACCCCATATCGAGGTCGTGGTAGAGCGCGGCGAGGGACTCGTCAAACTTGCTGCGGATGACGCTGCCCTGGAGGGCGTGGGAAGCGGTGAAGATGGTGATCTCGGCCATCTTCTTGGGGATATCGACGATGCCGGTCTTGCCCTTAAAGTCGGCGCTCTTCTTGAAGTAGTCGCGCACCTCGCCAGAGATGATGGGGACGTAGGATCGGAAGGCCTCGGTGGTAAGAGCGATCTTCATGAACTATCATGGGCTGTATTAGCATTCAGTCATGGAAGCGGATAATGTTATCTCACCTTCTTCTGCTCCATGAGCTTGGCGTTGGGGCAGTCGTAGACAACATCCTTGCCAAAGACAGGAGTGGTAAGGACGGTGTAAATCTCCTCAGCGCAGACGTCCTTGAGCTTTCCGTTGAGAATAAAGTCGTTTCCGGAGGGGCCCACAGCAACGGTGGTTTTCTTGCCGAGGAGGACAAAGGTGAAGACATCGCCGAACTATCGCCAAAGTTAGCTAACTGCTCTCTGTGGTTACTACTGGCAAGCATATCTGCTGCCAGGAGCCAAGTTCCCTCTCAATTGAAAGGCTATAACTCATCTGGACTCACCTTGGCGCGGTTCTCCTTGAAGAAGCGAGGGGGGTCCATTCCGTAGGTGACAGTGCTTCCGATGAAAGGGAACCAGTGGAACACCATGGGGGGCTCGTTGGGGTTGACGAAGAGGATCTGGCTGAGGATATTGAGGATAACGGAGAGGACAACAATGGCACCAAAGCCAATGCCGACCTGCTGGCCCAGGGGAAGCTCTTGGAACTGCTGGGCGAGCGGGTGGCCCGCGATCTCGTGGAGGAGTCCCATGGTTGAGGGAGGACGGGAGGAGTACGGAGTAGAAGGTTGTTGCTGTTGAGAGCGGTTCTCTGGAGAGGACGGGAGAGAAAGAAGAGGGAGAGGATCGCCTTAAACGTCAGGGAAAGCGCAATTCCCAACGACGAGTCCTTAGAAAGAAGAGACCGATAGGGAAAACAAGAGAGAAGAAGACGGCGAAGGAGATTAACTGATATGTAATTGCGCCAGACCCTGACGTTTTTTTCCGACCAGGGGGGAAGGAGAGGATCAGTTGGGGACCCCACCCACCTGCCGAGCGGCAATCACTTGGAAGGCACAGAAGGTTCCTAGCCACAGCACGGCACACCGCCTGGACACCGTCGGGAGTTAGTGGGCTCGTCCCCCTGTAGGAGTTCACTCTGCAGCACCCTCTCGCCTGTAGTGTCCGGCTTCTGTGGCGAGTGGGTGACGGGACCTGCAACTCTGTGCCTGGCAGGTGGATACCTCAATTAGGGCCGATTCAGAGTCTGATTGGTTGGTGTGTGCGGATTCGTATTCGTATCTCTGTTAAATTGAGATCTCGTCCCTCCTTTTTCGCATTCTTATCCATCTCCCCCGCCCAGTTTTGACTTGCATCCCTCGCTGGAGCAAGCTTCGTGGCTTACATAAACTCGATCACTGCAGATGATGCTTCTGCCATGTTTCAATGCCTACCAGCCAACTTTTCCAGGACCAATTGCTCGTGATCGCATTCCTAATACCGCCCAAACTTGAGGGTCGAAAAGTTCTCCCCCTCAAATTGATCCACTAACGGCCTCCTGGTCCTTGTCCTTGCGGCTCATTGCAGTGCTGGGTCTCTAACCACGTACGCCTTTAGAAATGGCCTGATGAGTTGTCAGCCGTGACAGTGATTGGCCGCCTTTTGCCCATCTCTTCGCCATGTTCCGAATAAGAGGATGGTCTTTTCCTTTGCCCATGAGCCGTGCCCTTTACCGGCCATCTGGTGTAACGATGCTCGGATCATATTCAGGGACCTCGATGAATAAGGCCATTCAGGTCATTGGCCAATTCCTTCTTTTTCTTTTCGCGACCCTGGGGAGCTGTTGGCGATGGGCGTCCGCTTTCACATGCTGGTCAAGTCCGAGCCGGACTCTCGCTAGGGTGTTGTTTATGTTTCTCCAAGGAGATCCTTCAAGCAAAGATCCGCGACATGCCCAGGTTACATCCCCAATACTCGTTGCTTTATCGCAAGAACTCGCGGCTGCTTTCGTGTACAAAGAACGTTACTGAGACTATGTTATCTAAGCTGTGAATGTCTGCAGGAGCTGGTTGCATGTCACTCTCACGAACAACAATGCCCGTCGCCTGCCCGTAAGAACTTAAAGACTCTAAACCTTCAATTCACCCAACAAAGCTTCTAAGCCCCTGACAATTCCCAAAAACCCCAGTCGTTCTCAAGAAAAAAAAAAAGGCGTAGTCTTAACCGCCAACCGCCCCGGATCGCTCCGATCATCGACCGCCGCGCCTCATACGCACCCCGCTTGTGGGCTGACGTCGCGGCCCTTCCGTATTCGGGAGCGACGGCGGCGAGCCGGCCCCGGGCCCTCATCTTGTGTTGTCCCGGCCGGCGCCGACATGCGCGACGGGGCAGGAGGCCCGGACAGGGGCCCCATGAGGGATGCCGGCAGATGTCGTGAGTGCCGCTTCCGACGCTTTTGGATGATGGTTGCTATTCCCTTGTTGGCCATGAGTCAATAATAGCAACCTTGCTCTGAAACGTACTCGTATCTTGACTCTGTTCGAGATATCTGTTTCGTTGGCGCTTACCAAGTCGCATGATGAGCTGACACAGCCGGAGCTCTAGATCACTCACTGCAACGTAGGAAGACCATACTTGCGATAGTCAACTCAACATGAGCCTTTCCCCGCCTATAATGTCTCATTGATTAGACGTCCTCACGGGGCTCGAAACCTCCCAACAGTTTCCACTACCACGCGCCCACGAGACACCCACTCACGTTACCTCCACTTGCAAGTTTAGTTGTTATTCACGCGACCAAAAATTGAGACAGAAGTCGATCACTTGCTCGTATCGAGAGGTCATGTCTTGATATCTAGTCACAATCAACCTCGTCTCGAATTCGTGCTGATTATTCGACAATAGGGTAAGCGGTTTTCGGGGGTATTTTTATTTCCCATATTCCAACTACCATACTTTGAGGGGAATAATTACCGACGCCAATGTGTGGAGAGCATCTACCCGGTTGCAAGCACAAACAACGGTATAGCCAATCCCAAACATGCAAGAAATAAATCATAAAAGCCATCCCATAAATCCCCAGTGTATGTCCCTGAGAAGCGCGCAAAGTAAAATATGAAGCAACAAGATATCCCCGCCTGTGTGTAACGAGTCGTTAGATGAAAAACGCCGACATTACCTCACTGGGACCGTAGCTTTGCGTATCTCATGACCATGACCGCGCAGAATGATATCGTCAGTGCCCAAACGCCCACCCCCTCGAAAAAGTCACCTCCAGAGTTCGGAACGAAGTCCTGTCCGCTCCTCAGAGTCCGAGCTCATTAAACAAAGAAACACAGAGTGTTCTCAGGTCTAAGCAACGATGCTCTTTCCCACGGCCCCCCAGCGAAGCTTGCGGAGGCCGTTACCAGATGACCGGATAACTTCCTGGCCACAAGACGTGGTCTCGTTGACGCCGCCCACGCTCCCAACGCTGGCCGCGAGCGCCTCCTGCTTACCCACCTCCCGTCCGATAACGTAGCCAGCACCAAACCCCACCACGGATACGAGGACCACGACACCAGCGCTGACAACCCAGGTGAGGAGAGTCGGAGAGATGTACGGCTCTTCCGCCTGCGCCGTTCGCTTCTTTTTCGTAGCCCGTGGGGCCGTAGCCGATCCGGAGCTGTGCTTGCCCCTCTCCGAAGTGCGGGAAGTAGATCTAGCAGGGGAGGCCCGTTTCCGTGGTGGAGACGGCGCCGTGGGTCGCTGGGCCCGGGCTGGCTCCGTGTCCAGCTCCGACTCTGGCACGAATCGCAGCTCCATCGGCTGGTTGCTGGGGCCTACGCCCGCGCTGGCAGCCCGCTGAGCCTCTGCCTCCTCCTTGGTCTTGGGCAAGCCTCTAGCCGCATGAGCGCAAGAGAGCAGTGTCGTCAAGGAAGCCCGCAGTGCGGCGTCGTTCTCCTCCCGAACCGAAGGGGACATGAAGCTGGGACCCGCACGGTGGGGCCGTGCCTGGGAGGAGCGCCGAGAGAACGACGACCGACCAACACCGCTGTGAGGATGAGGAGGAGGGACGGTTGGGATAGCGGGAGCAGACTCTCGTCTTTGGGCTTGGTTCGTTGGCGGATGAGAGAAGGCATTTGGCTGAGGTTGGAAGACAGGTTGGTCGGATGCCCGCCCAAGCGCGGTGACGTTATCTCCGTCGTCCGACTCCGCATCGGAATCCATGTCCTCATCGTCATCATCCTGCCGCACGTTCTCGGTAGAACTTGTAAGCAGGCGGTCCTCTTCGCTATCGCTCTCGTCGTACTCTTCCTGACTGCTCAGATCGGCGGCGTAGACGTTGTGGATGGCTGTCTGCTGCTGCGGAAGGGATCTTGTTGAGTTCTGGGGGCGCCGCCGACGTGCGTGCGGGTTTCCAACGCGCAAACCGGTGGTGACGATCTCATCACCGATACTCGACAGCGAAGATGAAGAAGGCTGCGACGAAACCTCTACCCATGATTCTGATGCCGTTAGCCAACGCGCGCAAGGCAGAAAGGGGGACAAGGACAAACCATCAAAGCGTCTCTGTGGAGGGAGTCCCGGACTCGATCGTGTTCCAGTCCTCGACACCCTGCCCCCCTGCCAGCTCTGACCTGCTTGTTCAGCCATAGTTTCCTTTTGTTCGAGTCGTCAAGAGACAAGTTTGGTTGAAAAACCGGAAAGTTAAAGAAGGGAGATCAGATATTGGGTATCACGGTAATAAACTGCCTGGGCGCAGCAAACAAAGCGTGGGGGTATTAGATCGGCGCGCTGCGCAAAACCCCGCTTATCTCACACGATGTCGAACCAGGGACTCGGCGCTCTGGTGTGATGTTATTCGGAAGGGGGAATAAGGAGAGGAACAAGACCTGCAGAAGCGGGAAAGGGTCCAGAACGAAGCAGAAGGGGATATTAAAAAAGACCAGGCTACAAGGAGGTGATGGGCAGCGAAGTCGGGGGTCGGTCGGTGAGGATGGGGGACGGGGTGTTGTTCTGGTTCTGGCACGCCTTTGTTAGAGGCACGAGAGCACGTCCGGTAGCACATCGATAGCGGTTGAGGTAGCAGTACTTGAAAGTGTGTGTGGGGGCACAGTGCGAGCGCATCACGCGCTTCTGTGAAACGCGGGCGTGTCACAGTCGGACACCAGGCCGACTTGGTCTCGTCGAGCATAGCGTAACGATGACGCCGATGTTGTCGCACACTGTGCTGTTATGGTCCCGAGGGCGGTGAGGCAGCCGTTTTGATGTACCGATACTTGAAGCCCCGCCCGTCTTTGTGAGCACGCAGCACGAACCAGCCGGTCATGAGCGCAGGGGCGGGGTTCTATTGCCCAAAAGAGTTCGCAGACCAGCTTCAGCGTGTGAGTGTGTGTTTAGGTGTCCTCGACGGGAGGGAGGTGATATTGGCCTCATTTCGATAAAAGGGGCCATTCACGCCATAAAGCGTGGCCATGGCATTTGTTTGCGTTTCGGCCTCATGCCGAACCTTGAGGGTCTTGTCTCGTCTCGTATGGATCCATGGACGCTTTGTCGACGTGGATCAACAAGGCTTGCTTATCGATCTATCACCTTGCTTTGATCTACATGCCCCATCAAGCCAAATAAGCCTTGAAAACTACAAGCCAAGATGATGGTATATTGACGATATTGATGGGAAAAGCATACTTTTTAACTCTATAAAAGCCACATTGGACACACAATGGTTCTATCTACTCTACAGCATTTTTATTTTATTTTATTTTCAAAACATGCGGTTCCTGCCCGACATCAAACTTCCGTGTCTCGTGTCTTCCTGGTCCATGCAAAGACCCTGCTTATTCCCCATCGCGGCGGCCATGGCGTGGTGGCATCATCGCCCGGCGCCTCAGCTCAGCCCAAGAATCATTCCAAAAGTGCGCCTCTGCTTCTGGTTTTGGATTCTCTTTGCGTCATCTAGCAGCAGCCCTTACAGAAGCCCAAGCCTCAAAAACTTACGCAGCAACAATAACAGTCAGACAGCTGAAAAAAAGAACGGGCGTAGTCGCCGCCAGCTGACTCCCGACTCCCAACACCCAGGCTCGCTTCTGATATCCCCTCCTCAACAAATCGTCTTGCCAACCCACTGCGTATGGGTATTAACTTGCTCATGCATGTGTGGGCTCTCTCCAGACTGGACTCTCCACGCGCGGTGTCTCATCGTTGAGCCATAACTGCCTATCCTGGGCGTTGCCCAAAGCGCAATGCCGTGCATCCTCGACGACATCTCTTGATAGGCCGCAGCCGATATTAGGAGCATGTGCCTAAAGAGCATTCGCGCCGTCTTTTACCAGCCCTTTATTAACTAAAAGCCCAATGTGAGCCCATATGGAACTCTTCCGTTGCATCTGCCGCATCAGCTTCCAGCACAACATATGACCCGGATGACAGAATCGTCCCACTACGAAACACTCATGCTCGCTCATCATGATAACCTATACAGCACGCAAGTAAAAGGGGACTCGTCCCGTGACGTCATGAGGAGAAACCATGATCAACGTTTATTACGCTGCTAGGTAAATAGATGCCCCGCACCGTTCTGATGCTGGAGCTGCCACTCTTGAGCGGTTCAGGTCCTCTCCAAATTAGCCTTTGGAATAGGTATACCCCGTATCGTAAAGGCAAGTTTAACCTTTGATACCTCGTCCAGTTTGATAGGCCTGTTGGTGGACTTGCTATCTATGACGACCAAGCCAGATGAGAACATGGCTGGTAGACACATGGTTTCCTTGATGGGTTCCTTGTCTAAGAGCCACTCACCAGGCCAAGTTCCTCAAGCGCCGGCCGCATCTCTTTGCTGTCATCTCGCTCCTGGACCTCGACGACTTCCTTCAATGCCAGGTGCAAGATCTAGGTTTCAGAAGTAATGCAGAACGGCATGAAGATTGCGTTAAGCCCCTGGTGGGACACAGGTTGCCATCCCGCTGACTACACATGGTTGGCATTTGACGAGGACTTTTACAAGAACCATCTCAAGTCTTAGGTGGGTATTGTTGAAGCTAACAGGACACGGCCCACAAGCATATATAGCACATGTATCATATCACATTAAAGACACCAAAGTCATTGGAATAAAATGATCAACTTTTATTACGCCCTCTACCTCGTACATGTGGACGGATGCCGGTGCCCCTCGAGAGCAACGCGGCAGTGGTATACTTACCAACATCAACCAGAAGAAACAAATCCCAGATGGCAACTGAACATGAACAGGGTGATTAAGGAATTAGGGTGGGTGGTCGTCAAAGGCAGGGTCATCGTCAACTGAAGCTCAAGTCAGGCGAGGCAACGTAGGTCGTTCCGTTGCGTTTCGAAAAGCCCCCAGGACCCTCAGAGCATTCGCACGAACCGACTTGGTCCACTCCGTCCTGTCTTCTTTACAAAAGACTGGGGGAGAATCTTCCCAAAGAGCCGTCAAATCCCTCATGAAGCCCACGTGGTGTCCATCTTGTCGACAGACTTGTTCAAAACCCAACATCAAAAAGCCGTAGTCGCCAGTGATGGCGTCTTTGCCAGATGCCACGAGCCCACGGTCCCCAAGTGTATATGCCCCCAGGTCTATCATGGCTTCACATCCATGGATGTGAAGCGTATTCTCAAAGCCCACTACTCCTCAAGGGAGGTATAACTTGTGTTGAAACGACAGCCCACAAAGCCCACTTTAATGGTAAACCCGCCAAATGCCCACTCGGTCTGCAGTATTATGCATGAGCCCACGTTTAGTCGAACGAGATCTTGGTGCCGGAGTAGCTGGCAGGAGTGCTGTTAGCACCGGTGCCAAAGCCACCACGACCACCGCCACGACCGCCACGTCCACGACCACCACCGCGACCACCACCACCACGGCCACCGAAACCACCACGGCCGCCACCGCGACCGCCTCCACGACCACCTCCGAAGCCGCCGCCACCACCGCCCTGCTGGGGTCGGCTGCTGGCAAAGTCCAGACGGACGCTGCGAGACATGCGTCCGTTGCCGATAGGGGCACCGTTCTTGGCGTCAATGACAGCCTTGGCATCCTCAACAGAGTTGAAGCTGACATAACCGAAACCCTTCAGGTTACCAGAGTCACTGTCATGTATGTTAGCTTGAATAGTCTTGTAAAGTGCTGACTGTTTGAACTTACGGGTCGGTGGGAAGTCGGACGCTGGCAACCTCAGCGACCTCGCCAAAGAACTCACGGACGGCATCCTGGTCAACGTCGAAAGGCAGGTTACCAACGAAGAGAGTGTCGCTCTCGGGGCTGAGGGTGTCGCCGTGTCGCTTGGCGCGGTCGGCAGCACGGCCCGCGGGGTTGGCATCGGCAGGGCGAGCGTTGGCGTAGTCGAGGTTGAGGGCACGGCCGTCGAGCTCGAAACCCTGCATGGCCTCGTAGGCCTTGGTGCAACCCTCAGGGTCGTTGAAGTCGACGTAACCGAAGCCACGGCTGCGGCCAGTTCCCTTCTCAGTGACAACACGAGCGCCGACGAGACCATTGAACTCCTTGAAGGCCTCGTAGAGGGCATCGTCATCGATGTTCCAGCTCAGGCTACCAGCGAAGAGGGTAGTGGGAGCATCAGTCTTGGTCTTCTTAGCCTCATCGGAGTCGATGTCGTCCTCGGCCTTGCGCTTCTTGGAGGGAGCCTCCTCAGTCTTGGCCTTGGCATCAGACTCCTCAGAGCTGTCATCGCTGTCATCAGAATCCTCCTCGGAATCATCAGAGTCGTCCGAGTCGTCAGAGGAAGCGGCCTTCTGTTACTATGTTAGTATAGAACTTAAAAAGAGGACACGGTAAGACAAACCTTCTCAGTAACCTTGGCGGCGGGCTTCTTCTCCTCCTTCTCCTCAGACTCGTCGTCAGAGTCGGAGTCAGAGCCAGACTCAGAGTCGGAAGAGTCAGAGGACTCAGCCTTCTTAGCGGCAGCCTTGGCGGTACCGTTGACCTTGGTGGCCTTGGCCTTGGGCTTCTCCTCCTCCTCAGACTCACTGTCGGAGTCGCCAGAGTCGTCGGAGCCAGAGTCAGACTCGGACTCAGAGTCGGAAGAAGGGGTAGGAGCCTTGGCCTTGGCCTTGCCGTTGGTGGTGGCCTTCTTGGTGACCTTCTTCTCCTCCTCAGAGGAAGAGTCGGAGTCGTCAGAGGACTCGGCTTCGCTCTCAGACTCGGACTCGGAAGACTCAGACTCGGGCTCGGCCTTCTTCTTCTTCTTGGAGTCCTTCTCCTTGACGAGCTTCTTAGCGGCAGACTTGGCCAGCTCCTTGGACTTGGCCTTGGTGGTCTTGGAGGGCTTGGTGATGCCTCCGGCCTTGACGGCAGCGAGGGGCTCAGCGGCCTTAGCCTTCTTGCTCTCCTTTGTCTTGGACTTGGCCATTGTGAATGTGTGTGAGGGGGATGGAAGGGGAAATGTCTAAACGAGGTGAATAGACAGAATGAGGATGGAGAGAAGCGGATGCAGAAGGAAGATTTCAGTTGCGCCTTGTATACCTTTTTAACCTGGGAGGTTGGGTCGACTGGCGCGGCAGAGTTTTTTTTTTTTTTGCCAGTCAAATGGTGGGGCAGTAAAAGCGGTGAAAGACCCTTGCTCCGGACAAGGAAGGTGGTCTGGGGTCTGTGCGAGTCGGTGCTTGCCTGAGAAATCAGGTCAGCTGTCATTGGACATCCAAATCAATTGAAGCTTCAAGCTACGGACATCCTAAGTTGCCGATATCGACCGAGTCCACATCGAAAGCCGCGACCATAGTCCCTCGCTCAAGTACCCAATTCGAAACCCTCGAGGCCTCTCAATCCGATCGTCGTCATGCCTACTCCCGAGTCCGAGCAGTTCAAGGCCCAGAAGCCTACCGTCCCTCCCACCTTCAACGGCGTCGACTACGATGATACCAAGGCCTTCAAGGCTGCTGAGGATTCCCTCATCCGGGAACAATGGGTCGGCGCCATGATGACCCGACTCGTCGGCGAGGAGCTGGGCAAGTGCTACGTCCGTGAGGGCGTGAACCACCTCGAGAACTGCGGCCATCTCCGAGGTTAGTTGGCCGGATGGAGCTCACGGGAGAGAGCTGCTGGGTTCCTGCCTTTGAGCATTCACTGATGACGAGCTATAGAGCGATACCTGCAATTGCTGAAGACGAACAAGATCAAGGGCACCAAGTTCATTCAGCAGAACTACATTGACCAGAAGGAAGAGGAACTTGACCGGGCAGCCAAGGTGCACACCAGCGACAAGATCGCCAAGATGAACCAGGACCGGTTCGCTTCGTGAGATACGAATTGACTGGTGCATGCGTTTAAGAGAGACGATTGAGTAGACCTTGGTTATCTAGATGCGAGGGAATTGTGGTCTTGATATCAAAGGCATCGAGTCGTCACAACCTCGGTTCTGGTGGTAAAGGTGAAGCAAACACCTAAACCCTGTATGACTGTGTATATATCAGGAAGCAATGAAACAAAAATGATCCACGAGTTGCTATTCAATTGCATGATATCCTCTTGGTTACTAGTCATTGAAACTCACGGGCATTTATCGCGAGGCTGACAATTGCCGGTTACCTTTGTCCTGATTGGCCACTCACCTCACACCTCCAAAATTTCTCCAGAACAGCGAGCCTTGTCACCCACCATCTCCCATCACCCACCACCACATCCATCATGTTCTGCACCCGGTGCCTCCGCGCCACTGCGTCGCGGCGTCCGCTGCCGCTCCTGCGGCAATTCTCGACAACAATTCCCTTCCGAAACGCCGAACCCGTGTTTTCGACGCCCGTCACCGGGCCTGGCGAGGCCATACCGGACGCTCCCATTCCCCGGTCATCCTGTCGAGCTGGGACCCCGCTGAACGGACTCAACTACTTCAAGGGCGGCCAAGATCCCGTTGCAAAGAAGGACGATGAATACCCCGAGTGGCTGTGGTCATGCCTGGATGTGCTTAAGAAGAGCGCCGATTCGGAGGACGCAGATGCCGGAGACGAGTTCTGTACGTCGTGGAAAACCCCACCTAGCATGAGCTCTTGCTAACAACCAATTCTAGCAAAATCAAAGAAGCAGCGAAAGCTAGCAGCCAAGCGCCAGAAGGCCCTCGAGGCCAAGCTCCTTGCCGAGGGTAACCTCGAGGCTCTCGCCCCCAAGGTGCCCTTGCAGCACCAGTCCATCAACATTCTCGGCGAGGAGAACCAGGGCGTCGAGCACAACATTGAGGCGGCGGCGAAGCGAGAGGAGCTCAAGAAGGCGATGCGCAAGGAGAGAAAGGCCAAGATCAAGGAGACCAACTACCTCAAGTCTATGTAAAAGTTCATGATGAATTGGGTATACCTGTACACTACCAGGAGGCGATGGAACTCTACTGTACTATACATGCCAGGAGGCATGACGATTTATACATGATTGAATAGAATTTTCAACGTGATTTTGTCAGCTCGTTGTGAGCAAATTCCATCAGCATAGCCGTTCATGATATTCACGCAAAAAGAGACATTGGGGAATTCACATTTATTCTAAAATTCAATCTATTCAAACCCCGCAAGTATCTACCCATGAATGCTACAGAAACTCCTGTGGTGTCAACAACACAGGCTGGCTCAACTGGAGCTGCATGAGATCTCACAGAGCGCTCAGGTCCAACGGCACACTGCTTCCTCGCCCCGCCCTGTACTTCCTTGTGCCGCCTACAAAATCTCTTGGTTTGGGGAACAGACCCTCGTCCTTGAAATGCCACCTGGAGTCATTAATCGCCACATGTGTGCCACCTGTAGCACCAGGTGTCTGCGCAGGCGAACCCTTGGCGGGGCTAGGAGATTTCGCTCCATTGGCTGTCAGAGTAAACATGCTGGGGTCCAACATGGATTGGCGGAGAGAGGAGCCGCGGGAACGTGTCACTGGAGGCGGCGGTGAAGCTGCAGTTGGAGGTGCTGGCGCTGATGATGGGGGCGGAGGGGGCGCGGAGCTTGGAGATGCTTGGCCAGCAGCGCGGATGGCGGCTTGAGCAGCAAGCGAGGGTGTTGAATGAGACGCTGCAGGTGGTGGAGGAGGCGGGGGAGGTTGTGTTCGCGGCGTAGGAGATACACTTGGGCGAGGAGGAGGAGGCGCCGCAGAAGGGGGGGGTGGTGGAGGTGCGGGCGGAGCTGGAGCGGAGGACATTGGCGGAGGGGGAGGAGGAGGAGCCGGTGCTGATGGCACAGATGGCGGTAACGACATGGATGAGGGCTTCCGCGATGTCGGGAGAGGAGGCGGCTTCTTCCCTATCGGAGGAGGCGGAGGCTTTGATCCTACCGGAGTCGTCTTCCTCAAGTTTGATCCTCCGGGAGGCGGCATCGGAGGTCGGCCAGGAATCGCGGGAGCAGCCCCTATCGGGGGCTTTGGCGCCCCAAAAGACGGTGGTTTCGGAGCGGATGTTGTAGGCTCGGGATCGGACAGATATGTCGAGTCGGAGTTGGCACCGGTGTCGATACCTCCTCCTCTCTTCTTTAGCTTGGGCATACCGCCGGCGAAGAGACCGCCCAGCTGTGGCGCCGCGTCCATGCCTCCTCCAGCCGCATCGCGGGACCCCTGATCGCTGTTGCTCCTGGCTCGATTTCCTGGGACGGGTGGTGCCAGTCCTCCTGGAGGCTTCGGTGCACCGCCCAGAACTGGAACAGGAGGCGCGCCTCCGATCGGAGGGCCTGACGAGTTTGATGAAGACTTGCTAACTTGAGGGGCGGAACGATCATTTGTGACGGCTTTCTTGAGAGCTTTGCCTTTGGTAATATCGGAAAGTAGAGCGCCCTAGAATGGCTCGTTAGAATCTGATCGGCTCCTTGTTGTCGCGATTCTGGAAATGCTTCCTAGGCATGGAACATACTCGGTTGGGCAATCCTCCAGCTGCAGGCCGTCCTGGAAGTCCTCCTGGGGGAGGAGGGGGCGGAGGAGGAGGACCACCACCACCAGGCGGCGGAGGAGGGGGTGGAGGAGGAGGAGGCGGCATGGTAGCGTCGACTTGTGGCCTTGACGATGCTGAGTTGGTGTTGGCGATATGGTGTCGTTCGATGGGATCGACAAGGCCGTCTAGACTCGCCGGGGTCTTCGGGCGCGAGAGCAAAAAGGGTTCGGTCCGCTATAAGACAAAGGGCGGTAGAGCTGTTGTTGCAAGCTGATGAGCTGCTGCTGCTGATATACTGGTGCTCGAGTATAGACGCCTAATAGAAGGCAGCAGCCAAGAAGTGAGAGGTAAAGGTTGAGGATTGAAAAGCTGAGTCGTGGTACCCAACCTTAAGGTCCAAGAGCCAGAGCCAGTTTCGTCATGGTCAACGCTTACGCTGCAAAGGGGGCACAGCATGGATGCAGCCCAGCCCGCGCCCAGGATCCATGGTTAACGAGGGCCACCTCATGGATGAGCCCCGCTTTCGTCCATCGTTCTAGCGCTTGGTCGCTTCGATTTTAGCGGGCATGTCACTGTAAATCAGAGCCTGATTCCACATGTTTGTCACTCTGCGATTTCGCTTCCATATGTTTCTTGGGCTTGTAGAAGTGATGCACAGTATAGATGAAATGAACCACAATATCCTTAGACATGAGATGATCTCACACTAACTATTGTCACTATCAGGTAACCGTCCATCATTCAAGTCCATGTTCAGGCTGCCATTTTAAACACCAGCTTTGAGATGAAAGGGAACAGCCAATCAGAGTCTTCCTTTTGCCGTTGAAGTGGGTCTTGACATTGTGCGAGAACGCTCCCTCTGATTGGCAACGATTTTCGACATCGGGAAATATTCAAGTCAGTTATCGACATCCGACGACCAAAGAAGAGGGCAGCGACCTTCAATTGGGGCTGAATCGACGGCCAAAGACATCGAACCCCGCGACTTCACCCATCACCGGCTCCTACCATGCGACGAGCAAGCCCCCGGCAGATCGGCAACGTCTGCCATCGATGCGCCTTTGCGCCGGCTCGAGCGGTCGCCAACCAAGCCTTCCTCAGCGGCGCTCTTCTATCAAGTACTCGACATGTCCGAAACTCGACCCTTAAGCCCTTGGGCGTGCGATGGGTCGCAACATCTCCGTACCCCGATCTCAACATCCAGCCACCCGACGCAGCGAGCGTCCCGAGGCAACTGACGGACCCGGCACAATTGGCAAAGATCGTGGGGGACAACACGAACAAGTTCCTCTCGACAGATGGGATTCCGGCGAAGCAATTGACGAGTGCCGCTTTGGAAACATGCCTTAGGGCTGCGGAGGCTCTCCAGCCCCAGGTTCGGAAAGCTGAGGCTCAGTCACGGGGGTCGACCTCGAAGCTCATGGAACTGGGAGCAGAGAGGACTGGTAACAGGCCAATCAAGATGGACGCGCAGTTGGCCGACAGCATCAAGAAGATCTCGTACTCGGCATACACCATCATCTCACACCCCAATGTCGAGATAACACCCGAGTTCCTTGAGCTGTATGTGGTCATCCAGGCGACTCTGGGTCGACCCGAGTCCCTCCCCGCGGTCCTCGACATGTTTGCCAGTAAGAAGAAGCCGGTGGTCAAGAACGGCATCGTTCAGTACGTTGCTTCAAACCCCAATGCTGCGATAAAGGCTGTCCAGAGCGACGTGGCCGACATGGCCCTGCAGAGTGCCATCGACGCCAAGAACCTGGATTCCGCCTTGGGCATCGTCGAGGCCTCATTCAGCCTCCCCGCCTTCAAGCGCCAGAAGCTCCTCAAGCACGCTACAACCCCGGCCCTCGCTCTTGCTACCCTCCCCTTTGGCATCTTTGGTCTGGCATCTGCCTATGCCGCCTACTGGCAGAACACAATGGACATCACCACGGCGACTGGAATCGGCTTCGCCGGTATTTCGGGTTACTTCTTCGTGGTGGGATCCATGGGTTTGATCGCCAAGCTGAGCAACAAGGACCAGATGAAGCGTGTGACATGGGCGCCCGGAACGCCGCTGCGTTACCGATGGCTGAGGGAAGAGGAGCGAGCGGCCATGGACAAGATTGCCTGCGCGTGGGGATTCAAGGAGCCCTGGAGGCATGGAGAAGAGTCCGGACCCGAGTGGGAGGGTCTTAAGGAGTATATGGGATACCGACAAATGATTCTTGATCGTGTCGAGTTTATGGAGGGAATGAGCTAGTTCTTCCTTGTCGAGGTTGCTGTAAATCATATATTTGTATAAAAGATACTAAACTTGAACGACTTTAGCCCCCTTCAAATGGATGCCCAATACCCCTGAGACCAAACGCCTTGCATTCCCAAGATATAGCCCTTTTACGCTTCCCGTTGATACTCGTTCCTAGCTTCGGTATCAGTCTCGTAGGTGACCCCGTATGTGGTCTTCCGCACAATCCTAACTTCACTAGGTGCATCGTTGCCCTTCAACGAGTCCAAGATGTATTCCTCACTTGCTCCGTCAGTGCGAAGGACTTCGCTCTGGTTGAAACCTTCAGCATGCCGGGGTCCGACATATGGCTTCCACACACCAGGCTGGTCTCCAGACCTGTCGCTGAGGGTATAGTCCTCGGAGCTTGATGCCTTGGATCCGGCAAACCAGGCTGGGAAAAGAATCGCCAGGAGCATGCGGCACATGGGCAAACAGGCGCAGATGATTGCCATGTTTTCCTCGATCATGGTCCATAAGGTTGACGCGATATCGTCTAATCAGAGGCCATCAGTACTAGCTAATGATATGTTTTAAGAGATGTACGTACATGTTATATCGGGGCTCGTGGTTGAGAAGCGGAGTGTTGTTGCGCGCATGATGGACGTAACGGTGACACTTGAGTCGATCAGTATATGCTGCTGGGAAAATGCAGGAGTACTTACAAGCTTCCCATAGCAAACACCAACATGAGCGCTCTCTTGTGAGCTACCGACAGTTGGCTTGCCCAAATAGGCTGCATGGGCAACAACAGGATCAAGACATCGGTGGCGATCGAGAAGCCGGCGTTCGCATACCAGTTCTTAGTAAGACTGATACATGTCGGTTGCACCGACTTATCCCAGGCCCCTCTGATGGGCTTGCACTGCCAGATGGACGAAGCGGTTGTTGCTGTCATGTAGCAGGCTATCAGAACTATGAGGGTGTGGCAGGATATGCGGAACCATCGCTGGACGAAGATGCGGAGGTACAGGAGTAGGATCGAGATCTTTGTGAGGTTGATGGTGAGCTTGTAGAAGATCTGGGCGACGTAGAAGAGCTGGAACTTGTTAGTGTTGTGGTATAGACAGAGTCATTGAGGTCTGGAGATGGTATCATGTTACCTTGAGTGCCATCAGCTTATTCTGGGGAGCCAAGTTCTTGATGTGCTGACCAAATCCATACTCGCACGAGATCATCATCAGAATCTGTACTATAAGAGCACAAACCTTTGTCGTCAATGTCAGTACTCTGCCAGAGGGCGGAATAGCTTCAACTTACAAAAGATATCAGAATAGTCCAGTCATCCCAGCCCAAACCCGACCTCTTGGCTATCCGACTCCAAACCCGAATAAAGAGAAAGATGGGCGTCAAGATGAAAAAGAATATGCAAGGAATACGGACTTGAGCCGCGTTGCTCTCGCCCGGAATGTTTCCAGACACCATCGTTGGCAGACGAGGTCTAGGAAAGACATGTGTATTGGTATGTAGCACCCCGGATGAAAATCACAAGAGAGCACAGGATGGGTTATATCTGGCATAAAAAACTCCCCAGGATGTCTCTTGTCTCCTCTCTAACCGTACCATGGATGGATCTGCGTCTTTCTCTCCCAAGGTGGAGGGAGACATGCTCATTGCTTCTGCAAGGGCGGGCCACATGTCTACAAGAGCTGAAGGCGACAACGAATCGGACTCTCCTGAGCCGATGCCCAATAGAAGCCTATTCAAGCTGGGAGCGGCACTTTATGACGACAAAGGAGGGACGGCACGGCAGGTGATGCTCAGCTGGGCTTAGATCGGTGATTGTCAACAAAGAAACATAAACTCCGATTAGCCTATCTTGTCCCATTGTTTCTTGATCCATCTTCTTCAGCAAAAATTATAACTTGTGGGCGATGATGACTGGGTGCAGCAACTGTCTAAGACACGGCTCGCTGGTTAGATCGAGGCAAGACCATCTCGAGAAAGCCACAGCTGAAACATGCCCTCGGAGCTTCTTACGACAGAGTTTGAGGACGATGTCCGTAAACAAAGGGAGATGAGGTGGTCCCACGTATACAAAGGGTCTTTGTCCCGAGAAATCATCGACCATACCTTGTCGAAAAGGGCTTTTTCTCGAGTGTAACCTCGGAACATTCGGTATCAGATGATTTTCCTTCTCTTATTGTTTCCTTCTTCTGAATTCCAACTAGAATAAGGCTCTCTCTATTGAAGGACGGGCCAAGTTTGAGACTTTGTTTGTCTTTTTTATTTGCGCCACCAACACTCTCAACTCGTCTCAACCAACATAGCCTATTCAAGAAAAATTCCAAAAGTTTCGGAAGTGGGATGTCGGATGTTGGTTCTGAAAAGGTTTCGCTGTGGGATGCGGTTGAGAAAAAGCAACGATTGCCCTCAGGTCTTGGGTCTGGGATGGCATCGAGCCGCCTCCGATGGTATGTATAGAGGCAGTACAGCAAGAGTAAGCACATTGAACATTTCCAGGATACTCCTTGTTACCAAGAAGCTTGTTTAGTTTCTCTCTCTCTCTCGGAAAAGCCCAGAGCCTCATGTCATTGAGAGATTTTCTCCCGAGGTCGAGGTATGCGAATCAATCAAAGTGGACTCGTCGGCTCAACTGCTGAGACAGGGATATCCCCTCCTTGACAATTACAAGCCTCGAGTTGCACCCAAGCAGCTTCCGCTATGGCCTTCCGTACCAAGTTAATGTTTGCTGAAAGCCACGGTTCAACTGTTTGCTGATCAACATGCATTAGCGACCTTCTCTCTTGGGTAGAGTCATCAAAATATCTGAAACAAGACCTATTTCCCTGAAATTTACCCGACGACAAAAACCACCTCGCGATATTATTACATCGGAACCTTTGGAATGTTGGTCGAGATGCCTCTAAATCGCGGCCCCTCCCGGGGTGGTTTAATACGGCTCCCCGCAGTGTGGATGGCATGGGTTGGATGTCAACAAGCCCAAGGTTGTATTACCACGGGGCATGAGGCTTTTCTCGGAACAGAAACCTTCCTTATACGGTCGCTGTCCCTCTTCTAATTTCCTCTACTGCATCCTCTCACATTCAATGCCATGAAGCTCTCACTCGCCTCCATCTTCTCGACCGGCCTCTTCTGCGCCGGTCTCGTCTCTGCGCAGGTCAAGGGCATTGTGTACGATAGCAAGGTCGCTGAGGACATCAATGGATCTAATTACACCTATCCATGGCCGGTGAAGCTCTTCAAGTTCACCAGTCAGCTTGAGAAGCTTGAGATGGCCTTTATGGACATTCCGCCTGAATGCGATCCCAATGGCAAGACAGCTCTTCTCCTCCACGGCAAGAACTTTTGCGGTCCTACATGGGAGGGAACCATCCGGGCTCTGAGCCGAAAGGGATACCGCGTTGTGGCTCCCGATCAGGTGGGCTTCTGCAAGAGTTCCAAGCCTTCATCGTACCAATTCAGCCTTCACCAATTTGCGTGGAACACCCGCGGACTCTTGGACGCTCTCAAAGTTGACAACGTCACCGTCATTGGACATTCCCTTGGAGGCATGCTCGCAGCTCGATACAGTCTTCAGTATCCCGAGTCAGTGGAAAAGACAGTCATGGTCAACGCCGTCGGGATGGAGGATTACGTCCAAAAGGGTGTTCCCTACGTCAGCATCGACACCACATACACGTCTGAAAACGCCTCGAGCTACCAGTCCATCCGAGGATACGAGCAGGCGACGTACTACATGGGCGAGTGGAAGGATGACTACGACAAGTGGGTGAGGATGCTGGTCAACATCTACTACGGCAGCGAGCGGGAAAACTATGTCAAGAACCAGGCGCAGATTGTCGACATGGTTCTCACGCAGCCCATCGCGCATCAGTTCAAGGACATCAAGACGAAGACTCTCATCATGGTTGGTACCAATGACACCACGGCTATTGGTGCGCAGTGGGCACCCAAGGAGGTTGCGGCGAAGCTTGGTCACTTTGATGTCCTTGGCAAGGAGATTTCGAGCCTCATTCCGGATGGTCATCTGGTAGAGTTTCCTGGACTTGGTCATGCGCCGCAGATTTCTCATCCGTCACTTTTTCACGAAAAGTTGGTTGCGTGGTTGTCTAAGTGATTCACGGTCGTGGAGTATTAGGAATTGCCAGCTTATTGGTTGATTGAATCACACATATTAATTTCATGTCAACTCTGGCATATCTCTTTCGTCTCATTAGCCCTTCTCGTGTCATGCTCCTGTGATTATAACCAATTAATGCCCGTTGCTCACTTCTTCATCCTTCAAATCCAAAGAAGCCATCGCCGTTTGGATGTTCTCGTTTGTTAAGAATGGCCGGTAGTTCATACAAGTCAATATCTATTACCTTGTTAGGCATTTTTCTATCAGCACAATGTTTGTAATGCCGTTTCGTTTCTAAATGCCCTCGGCCATTGCTAACGCCCATAGTCAAGTGCGTGTTAGCTTCCATGAGAGCTGGCAATGAGTCGCATAACTTGGGAAGGAGCAGAATTAGCTCAATGACAAACAAGCATACAGTTGATCGTTCGTTCAATTGTTCAACATTTCACCCTTTTAGAACTTGGAATGGTCATGTCCTGTTATAAGATTTCTCGTGATCGCCTCACTGGACTTTTCATCCTCAACCCGAACAACAAACTGGGAAGAGATTCATCCGCTTGCGCGTTCCTCTTGCTTTCTCCAGCAACACAAGTCAACTCAAGTATACCCTCGAGGCAAGTGGTAAGCCCCATAATCTTTTCTCATGACATTACTGACTTCTTCCAGCCAGCACTTGTTAAGATGAACGTCCCAGGCCCATGCAACGACAACCAGCTCGAGACCGGAGTCAAGCCCTCCATCGGCAACAGACGATTCGTCTACCTCTGGCTTCTCGACTCCTCTCGTGGTCCTGCTGGTTCTCGCAACAACCAGCCCGTCGTCTACCGCAACAACAAGCCCATGAAGCAGTTCAACTATGCCGCCATCGCCGAGTCCCTCGTCAGCGACATCAACAAGACCGAGTACCACGTCTTTGTGTACAACAAGGTCAAGGTCGGCGAGCTTTCCGTTCGCTCTGAGGGTCCTCCCCAGTGGACTGGTGCCGGCTCGAACCCCTTCTTCCCTAAGGACACCGAGGAGTTCAATGAGATGAACAACTTCCACGCCGCCATCGCCTATGACCACCAGGCTGAGGAGCAGCCCAACCTCAGCCTCACCGTTGGTCACGGTGGTCGTAAGTCTGACTGGGAGGAGGGCAAGCCTTTCTACGGCCTGAAGCCCTTTGAGGATGTCGAGAAGGAGATCTCCGGTCCCTCCAACAGCGCCATCTGCATCAACATCAAGTTCGAGCTTGAGGACGCTTCCGCCAACGAGATTGATGAGACTATCGGCAAGCCTCCCCTGGCTGACTGCATCTCTCCCGTCTACAGACCCGACACCGACAAGTGGCTCGACACCGTTCGCCTTGAGATCGCCCAGAAGGGGTTCCCTAACTACCTCTCGTTCAACATCCGCTTCGTCGAGTCTCAGGGTGAACACCTCCTCGACCCTGTCCCCATTCAGGCGCAGCTTTTCAACATCTCCAGCATTACGCTCTCTGACGTCGCCACCAAGGAGACTCCATTCGGAGAGTTCGACACCGTCACGTGCGTTGTTAAGCTGGCCTTCCCCCTCAAGAAGGAGAATGATGAGGCTGAAGGCGATGCCATCATGAAGCAGTGATCTACTGATTGATCCAGGACTGTGGTGATCGCAGTAGCAAAGGCAAACGTGGAGTAGTAGAAGCAGTAGTGGTGCCAGGTAGCACAGAATAGCATACAGCAAAAAGTGCCTCTGTTACACAACCTCAAATTACATGCCCCAAGAAGTTTGCCTCTTCAGTGACTGACGTTCCATTCATTTGCAAGACCAACACCATCAGACATCCTGAAAGAGTGTCACATCCGGACTTCCACCTCCGGTCCATCATCTATTACTGTGATAATCCCCCCCCCCTCCTGAAAGGCCCCAGCAGACCGGTTCTCGTGGCCCTCTGCTAGAAGCTTCACAGAAAAAAAGGCTCATGGCCAAAGGTGCACTCACTCACAGAACACGACCACATTCACAAAGCACCGTGTTCAGCGAAACAACGTCCCCATTTTGTCTCCAACCAATCCAACCCTCCCTTGAAGAGCACCAGCTCCTTTCAATCATCCGCAAATAAACAACTTATATACACGCCGCGAGACCCAAAAGATGACGCCGCCTCGTTCAGGTCAAACTCGCCCAAGACACAAAACATGCCTCTTTGAGAAGCTCTCTCTATCTCCAGCCCAACAAAGTAACGTAACCTGTGCGACAAGATAACTTCCCGTGATCACCATTTTTTTTTCCTACTACGCTTTTCACTATCCCGTCGTCAACTACCGACCTTGCACAAGTTGCTTTGGCAGCAACGGGGGATTTCTGTCGACTTAAGAAAAAGGTGAGTTGGCTTGCCCCTATTCCGAGCGCTGACAGAAAGAGGTGTAGCAAGCGATAATTATTAAATCATAATGTCTCATCATCAACAAAGGTCTAGCACGTCGCAGACCTATCAAGGTCATGGACGAAGCTCTCAACAACGAAGCCGTTCCGACAACCATGGCATCGCTAGAAGCGCGCCCACGTCCGGCATCGTTTACACGCCTGGCTCCGTTCACCCTGACGACTTCTATGACCGCGACGATCTGGAGGTAGCCGACTCATACACAGAGGAGCCTGACACCCTCCAAGATACATACACCAGCCCCCAACCTGATACCAGCGTCTCTTATCCCGGCCCAGCGCAGTATGCCAGCCAAGATCGTCAGGCTGCAGGGTCCTACCCCGGAGGTGTGGCTTTCACCAGAGGCAGCACCTATCCCGGCGGAAACACCTACACCACGGGAGGCTCTTTTGATGCTAGGACCTACTCAAGGGGCGGCTATGACTGGGGAAGCTATTCCAGGGGCAGCACTTATAGTCCCAGAGGCTATCCCCGAGGAGGCACCTACACTAGCAGAGACAACAATAGAGTGTTCTCGTACACCCTGGACGGACACTTGATACCAGCCTCAGACCCTCCACGGAGGTTTCCTGCCGATCACTACGATGGCTTGGGAAACTACATCGGGGCTCCTCCAATCTACTCCAGCACAACCGGCTTCATCTCATTCCCTCGATACCCCGAGCCTGAAGCACCACGGTCGCCTTCACCCCCTCCTCCGCCACCGGCCCCTGCTCCCCAAAACAGCCGCCGGTCTCTATCAGGTCAACTTGTTGACGGGGTCCGCAACCTCTTCTCCCCCGAGCCGGCTACAAGCGAACCCCAATTCCCTCCCCAGCCCCCGCGGACGGGCGTCTATTTGTTCTGCAGGCACCGTCTCAACGACGACTGTGCTTGTATCACACCCCTTGAGGACAACGAGCCGGGAGACTACTGCCAGAGATGCTGGGAAGGACGGTGCGAGGGGCCACGACCTCCAGGGTCAACATCCAAGAGGTCCTTTTGGTAAGAAGTAGAGCTGGTCTTGTGGGTTTACAACGTAGGCAAGTACCCGAGGAAACTTGGATGGGCCATAGAGCATGGAGGTCATAATCGGGGCGTACCTAAGGGAAAGTGGTCAACATGAACAGCGTTGCTCTGCGGGTAGCTGGGATTAATAGTACCATAGAATGGAATAGACACCACAAGACTCCTCCCGACCAACTGAATCACACAATGGACAATGAGACATAGAGATTATTGTACCAACTGACCATAGTTTCTATCTAGTTGAGCTATAGTTGACTTCAAAACCATGGGAATCTTTTTCTTTTTACCATTGCCAGACCTGGCATCGGATATAATGCTCGAAACAAGAAAAGCAACAAACTCGACTCCAGCTGCTATGCATATCTTACCAACGCCTTGCTTACACACCAGAGATCCCACCTCCCGTTCTAATACATATGTACAATGTGCCGCTTCGCTTCGTCTCGTCTTGGTCACGATGTGACTCGTCTGACCCACAGCGACGACGGCTCAAAGGCGGCTTCTCTCTCGAGTCGTTTGTTGGCTCGGTAGAGCTTCAAGCCCAAGTCATATTCCTCACGTTGAATCTCCGCCAGCTCCTCCTTGAGCCCCTCAACCTTCTTCTTCTCGATCTCGCGCCTGCGAATAACATCCGAGCTCGCCAAGAGATTGTCGGTAGGCATCAGCTCCGTCATTTGCTTGATACTCTTGTTGATATTGTTGCGCCGGTGGGCTAGACTGTCCAGTCGGGCTGTAAGGTACGCAACACGGTCGTTTGCTGACTGCATTTCGGGAGGTGCAAGTGGGAGGGCTTTGTCAGTCACAAGAATGGACGGAGGCCTCTCAGTGCTCGTTCGATCTTGGCTTGCCGCGTCCGACCTCAGAGAGAGACTAGATGTCTTCATCGAGATAATGATAGGATCATTTGAGGCCCTCTTGAAACTATCACCTCCGGGAACTGGCCTCCTACGGTCCATCATCGACGGGGGCTTTGGAGGAGTGGGCATTGGTGGTCGATCTTCGTCGTCAGTGAGGCGGGGTGATTCGGGAGCGGCCGTGTTGCATGTGGTAACGCTGAAACGCGAAGGGGGCTGAACCCAAGGATCCTCAGGCGCAAATAGGCTCGTTGGCTCGAGGTTGTTGGGGAGAGGTGCGGGACCGGAAGCAGTCTGTTCCGTCAGGGCCGAGTACACCGAACTCGAGTAAGAAGCGTGAGAGAGGTGAGCGGAGGGCGACGGCTTTCTTTTAATGGCCTTTTGCTGATCAGGCATCGTAGTTGGGGTGAGCAGGGGCGCCGCATGAACCGGCCGTGCGGCATGAGACGCGACTGGCGGATGAGAGGGGGGAGAGCTAGAGTAGGGAGGGCTAGGATAAGCATGTGAGGTACCGGCTTGCGATGTAGGCTCGGGTGATGGTGTTTTGCTAGCATCCTTGAGCTTCTGATTGGACCGCGAAGGAAGCAGTCGTCGGACCGTCGAAGCTGCGCCGCTGGGACTTTCGGGAGATGTGCCACCGCCAAGTCCAACCCGTTTGCTGACCCTGCGCTGCAGAGACAACGGCACAACAGAGGGGTCGTCTCGAACTGGGTCAACCAAAGGAGCACGGCCACTGGCTCCGTTCCATGGTGGCCGATTCTCAACTGGCTCGGCCTTCAATCTGAGCTTGCGCATCCGCTGTCCAAATGTCGTGGGAGGGTTGGAAGGGCGAAGAGCCCGAGGTCCCGTCACGGTAGTAGTGAGCCCAAACGTGTGCGGAGGTTTGCCAGAGAGGGCCTGCTGGTCTCTGAGCTGATCGATTGACTTGGACTCTCGAAGGGGAGAAGGTCTATGATCCTGGTCCCTTGTCTTGTCACGACGCATGGTCGGAATTTGGCTGCGAGGATGTGCGTGCGACTGAGGGGAGGGTGTATGTCGAGCATCTTGAAGAAGCTCTAGCTGAGACATATCGGGTGCCTCATCGATAGGTGAGACATCTTCATGATTTCCCCTACAGGCAAGGCATCGAATTAGTGAAACAGCTCTGCGTTGCATCCACCGCATTTTGTAGATGTTCAGGTATAGGCAAAGGCCAAAAAAGGTCGTTAGAAGAAGGTGAAGGAATTCCAGCCGTGGCAGCTTTGAAGATGTCGTATCTGAGAAGTGTAAAGAAAACGACAAGGCTCTCAAAAAAGACGATGGAAATGCCAGTGGACAAGAATAGTAACCAAGAAACATGGGATGGATGAAGACCAAAAGCAGAGTTGACTTGGGAGAACTCACCCATTTCGTGCAGCGTCGAACTCGGGAGAGCTGGGCGGGGAGATCTCAATGGCCGTTGGGCGACCGTACATGTCTTTGGCAGGCGCCTTGGCCTTGGAGCGACCAGTAGTGGAAGGCTTGCGATGAGGGCGGGAGTGGGAGTGGGAACGGGAGTGGTGGTTGTTACTGTCGTCCTCGTCACCGTAGATGGAGGAAGTAGGACGCCAGTGAGCTTGGTCGTCGGCCTTAAGTCGTTGATTCCTGGGAGGAGCCCGTACTCTGAGATCGTCTGAATCGAGTGGAGGGGAGCTGCGACCAAAGGAAGCCAGTGTCAGTCAAGTGCAAACAATCTATTGCTGCTTCCAAGTGCAATGTAGGACATGAATCATTGGGAAAAGGCATTGGTCGAAGTCGAGGTTTGGGGAGGAGCAAGATGGTGGTTTCTGCACAAAGAAAGTTGAAGTGGTGGACGCAATGGCCTCAAGTTCACGGTGACCCTGTTTCGTCTTGCCCAGTCCTGACCTGTCAGAGCGTTGGCCGTTGGCCGTTGGCTGAGGCAGGTGCTGTGGTCGCCAGCGGTTCCAAAGGATCCACGCCGTCCTGCGCCATGTGCTGCGAGCGTGCAGATCCAGAACAATCGTGTGGCATAAAGGAAGTCCGATTCGTGGCTGATTGGAAGCCAACGAATACCTTTCTCATGTCGTCGTCGTACTCGGCAGAATGAGGCGTTCAGCTGGGAGACCTGCTGCGCCTGCCTGGCCTTGGTGTCCAAGCGTTCAGGTTGGCGTGGGTGCCCATGTCATGACGGGGGCTGCGCCAGGAGAACGCGACGTCTGCCTATGATTTGGGCCAACTCCGTCCATTTCGAGACGGGCGCACACGACAGCGAACGCCGCAGTAACATGATATCCAATGCAAATGTCGCGTGTGGTGGAAAAGGTTGATGAAAACAGAAGAGCTCATGATACTTACATTTGACGTGGACCAGAACCGTCTGGCTGTAGAACCGTCTTTCCACGGCGAATCTCGTACTTGAAAGGGCCGTTCTGGATACCGAGGCCGTTGAGTCGGTTGTCAAAGTCGCTCTGCCAAAAGGCTCGGTCCTGATCTTCGTCGCTGTTTCTGAGCTTGTTGACACTCGAGGTGGATTTGCTTAGAGGAAGAGTCTGGGTTGGGCGAAGGAATTGTCGCTTCTTGAGCTCTGGAGGCGGCAGCTGGTGAGCACTGGGGCCCGTGGTAGTTTTCAAGTTGTCCCACATGGCGGGCATCCTTTCATCAGGCGTCACCGTGACAGTGACAGATCAGGTAAAGCTGCTTCAAAATACTAGGCCGGGCTTCGTTTCCTCTCCTTCGCAGTGCATACGGCTGAGACTGCCTGGTCAGCAGTGAGAGTGCCTCGTGCAGCCGCTAGTTATTTTTGGTCCCGGGCGTCCACAAAGAGTAATCAGCTTGGGTCGGCGATGAGACGCGCTGACAGGAGACGACAGTAGCTCCAACGGCACCGCAGTAAGCAGCAGGGACTGTAGTAATGAAAGGTCGATGAAGGATGCGAGTCGAGCGGGGACCAGAATGTGGCGGAGACAGATTCCAAAAGCTAGAACCTGGGGCTGAGGTGATAAAGATCGATTAATTGCAAGTATCGCTGTTGAGTCGAGTGTAAGGAAAAGCAAATGAATGATCGAGTCGTCTGTTGTGGGCGCGAGTCCAGCTCCAAGCCAGCAATGAATGGATGGTCAAGCAAGTGATTAGAGCTGAAATGATTAAAGAGTAGAGAGAGAGAAAGAAGAACGACGAGAGAATTCCAAGGAACGGATACCTTGCTTTCAAGGAGGAGAACGTCCTGGGGTTCTTTATTAAATGAAATCAAACCCAGGCTGTACGCAGAATAAGTGCGACGCTGGCTGTTGGCTGGTCGGGGCGCACGTCTCCAGCTTGGTGGTGTCTTAATTTAAGGCCTGGTGCTTGCTCAACGAAGCACCACCACCAACAGATTTCCTTTTTCCCCGGTTCCTCGAGTCTGAGGCGCCTCTTGCTCAAATGAGACAGGGATGCCCACCGACGACGGCTTCTGTTGATGTCTAAATTTGTTACCCTGACCCGCAAAGCGGCCAACCAGCAAACCACGAGACCCTGCATACCTCCAGTTCAGGACTTCAAGACCGCCAGACTAAAGCGCCAGTCTTGCAGGTCCTCTTTAGTATCGTTTGAGCAAGATCCATCGACAAAGCAGTCGGCTGGCTCTGGGAAGGGCGCCAAAGCCAGCGACGCCAAGCGCCGTGGTTGATGTGGCAGTTTGAGTGTGGCGATGTGGCACGACTGGATTGAGAGACCTGCACGTAGTCGCGTTGCAATGGTCTAGCGCTCGACTGACAAAGACATGAGCGCTTCTGCTCGACGACAACTGTTGATGTTTGGCGCCAATTGCCTGACCGGCGCTTGAGCATTCACGAACTTGGTTCAGGACCGAGTTCTTATCGAAGCCCTGACCTGACTGGGATCACTCGATCAATTGGAGCCTGTCCAAGATCAGGAAGGATCACCCTCACACTCGCAACCTGGACAGCCAGGGTAGACTCGTCCAGGTTGAGGCGCTCACAGTTGATATCAACATGACACTCCGAAGGCTTCCAGAATAGGTCTGGCCTGGTTGGCTAATCCTTTCGACGCACGATTTTAGGTTCCGTACCTGCCTTACCGCGCTTGTTAGTTTGGATGGAGGTTGCCGTGGCCCGTTTCAGAAAACTCAGGGGCTCAATATGAAACTTGGAGCTGCACCCGTTGCGTCTTCCATGGGAAACGACGCCGAGTGGAACCCGTGGAAACAACCGCTCGCTCGGCTCCTGCCATCCCGTCCACACGAACGTTGACGGATCACCGGTCTAAAACATCAACCTTGCCTCTGCTACCGAGGCTAACCTGTGCCTGATTTTCTCCGTTCCTCATCCCCTGGACCGTTGGGGATTTCCTCCCTAGCCCTATCATCGACCCTGATCCCAGCCCTGGTAGCCGCGGCCTCGCTTTCATCTCGTCCCATGCCGTGCCTGCCGTTGCTACCGTCGCTACCGTTTTCTCGCCAAAACCTTTATGGGGAAGTCAGGAGACTCTGCTCGACTTTTTTCCTCCTGGCCCCTGCAGCATGACTGGGCTCATCGGCAGACGACTGTGTTGCACTCGGGACGATCCTGTTTCCTCCTTAACGGATTATCTTATGAGGAAACATTGCGCAAAGATCGAAGCTTGCACCTTGGCGAGCGAGAATCGCTGATCAATGGAAGCTTTGAGGCCAGTCACATGTCCTCTAGGAATCGCGACAGAGCGACAGGGACCAAAACACCCCCTGCTGAAGGGCGGCGACGGTCCTCGCCTGTCAAAATTAGGAGCGGAAATACGCTTGTTTTTGTCAAGGCATCAAGTTCCCGACGGGACAAACCGACATAATAAGATTACATTATCAACACCACCGTTACCTTGGCCTTGCTCAATCAACTAACATCGTCTTACTTCCAATCTCGCAAGATCGTATCCCCCTGCTTGATTTCCGCGGCTTCGAGTCCATATTCCCACAGAGCGTTCCGATTGGCGACATTTTTGGACTCTCTTCCGGTATCCAGCTCGTCTGTACCATTCAGATACAATAACTTGCCTGCCGGTACTTCAACCTCGAAGCAGAGGCGAACTGCGTCTCCAGCGCTCTTCCACAGTGGGCGGAATAGCCCATTGGGGTTGAACTTGACAGCAATGGGAGCCATGAGGGGAAGAAGCCATCTGACTCCAACAGTCGTCATCAGAAAACCGCCTCGTCGAGTGAGGTCAGAGCCCATGGCACCAGGATCCAACCCAACTACCGATACACGAGACAATTCTGGGTCTCTAGCGAGGCGGCTCGCCAATTCATGCCTGGAACTATTAGTTGATAATTCTGAAAAGCCTTTCAAGGTTCGACTTACATGAGCATCACAGCGCAGAGCTTGCTTGCTCCATATCTCCGATAACCCGTAAACCATCCACCACCACTGTCCGGCCTACTCCACTTGCCTTTGGCGAGCTCCTCGGCTCCAGGGAAAAGAGTGTCCCAGCCTTTATAAGGCTCACCATTGGTGTTGTTTCGTTCATCGTCGATGCTGAAGTCAGTGTCAGCGTGTCCCGACTTTATTTGCTTAAAGTAACTCACTCGTGCGACCAACTGCCGAGAATGAGGATCCGGCCCTTTTCTTTGTCCATGCTTTGGAGTAGGAGAAGAGCCAACAGCTGGTTCGCCAGATAGTTGACCTGCCAAGTGGTCTCGTATCCATCATCCGTCATGGTCTATAGTTGTTAGCACCTTCTCGTATCACGTATCAACATCCTTCTCACTTACAATCTTCTCGTGGTCTTGGTATGCAGCGTTGAGAATGAGGGCTCTGATAGGGGGGAACTCCCCAGCAGCCACACGCTGGTTGATCTCAGTGGCTGCCTTTCGGATGCTGGAGAGCGAGCCGAGATCCATGTCCACTATGTCATGTTGATGTGCTTTAGGTGCAGAACCGAGAACCTTTTTGAGGTGCGTCGCTGTGGCAGCCTTCCTGACAGTATACACGCCAGTGTAGTTGCTGGCCAAGTCAGGTTTCTTGAGGATGTCGGCAACAATAGCAGAACCAAGTCCACCATTGGCGCCAGTCAAGAGGATAGTTCCTTGAGAGGATGCCATTTTGAATGAGATGGAGATTGATTGAATAGAAGAGATGAATGGAATCGAGGTTTGTTTGGCCTTCATGACGAAGTGCTTGCACTTATACACCCTTCTGTTCGGACCTTGCTCCCATCGTGCATGCCCCGCTTTTGTTAGTGCCGGAACCAGAAATCCACCATATTTGCTCACAAATCCGGGTCCAGCACTAGCAGATCGGCTGATATAAGCCATTTACCAGGTCCGCAAAGTCCGTGTCAACTGAGAAGGCTGCAACCAGACTACGACTAACTAACTCTATTAATCTCCAATGAGGTCACCATAGAAGGGAACCCAATCAGAGGGCGTGAGCCGTGGCAGATGCAATGCCAAGGCTATGAGTGCTGGCACGAGACTGGTCAACGCAATATGCGAGTGGCAGATTGATGGTATTCATAGAAAACGGTCGTCACATTCACGGAACGCGCATGTCAAATGGCCGGAAGCAAGCTCAACTATATTATATAGCCTCCACTAATATGTACAAGGTGAATAAGTCTATGTGACAGCATGTAGGAAGAACCCCAAATATTCCAGCAGCTGCTTAGTAGAACAGCTCAACGGCATCAAAGATGAAGTTGGGGTTCAAGTAGGTGGTGCCAGAGCTCCCGGAGATAACCTCAATGGTGATGGTGTTGGCGCCCTTCTTAAGAGTGCCGGCAGGGATGACAGCATCGTACACCTCGCCGAGACCACGGTAGGCACCACGAGTAACACCTCGAGAGTCGACCTTGGTGGGCGCAGCGAAAGCCTTGGTGAAGCTGCTGTTGACGACAACCTGGGGGCGGCCGCTAGCAAAGGCCAGGGTGGTGCCGATACGGAGGGTAGCCTGGCCAGAGATGGCAGAGTCCAGGTTGAACTTGATGGTGACAGGGTTGTTGACAGTCTTGAACAGAGCCATGGGGAAGTCGCCGACGGAGCTGGATCCAACGGTGTAGGTCAGAGGGCCCCAGCTGGACATGCGCTTGTCGCTAGGGTGCATGCGGAGTTGCTTGTCAGCGTTGCGGAAACCAGTGGGCTGGCCATCCCAGTCACCGATGCGGAAGACGGAGGTGTGCTTGCCAGTGGTGATGTCCGAGTCGGCAGCGATAGAGGAGGAGGCGGTGGCACCGGCTGAGACGCTCACGCTCTTGGAAGCGACCTTGAGCTCACCCTGGTAGAGGACCATGGTGTAAGTGCCGGGAACCATGAAAGGAGAGGTGAAAGAGCCGCCAGAAGTGTAAGTCCAGTACTGGTAGTTGCTGTTGTACCAGTGGACGACGCCCTGGAATCCGGACTGGATGCCAGTAGCCTTGCCGCTAACCCTGCCGCGAGAAGCGTCGGTGTTGAAACCGGAGATGGACAGCTCGCTGAAGAAGCTAAAGTCAAAGTCCTTCTGCTTGGGGACACCAGAGCGGGAGAAGGAGAGGGCATACGGCCCATGGAAGCCCTGGCGGTAGGCCTCAGTCTGAGCGTGGTTCGAGTTCATGTAAAAGGTGAGAGCGCTGAAGCCGCCGTTGTTGTTGGTGTTGATGTCGCGGAAGAAGGGGCCGCCAGAGCTCTTCTCGTAAGAGCGCGAGGGGTGAGCAACCATGCAGGCGTGGACATCCTTGGCGCTGCTGCGGAAGCAGTAGACGCCGTTGTCGATGAAGCGCTCCGAAGAGTAGAACTTGGAGCGGGTCTGGCCGTTGACGAGGAAGACGTCAGAGCCCTCAACCTCGGAGCCGCCAGACGTGTTGGAGGCGTCGCCGAAGGGGTATTCGTCGGGCAGCTTGGAGTTGTCGAGGCGAGCAATGTAGCGGAGCTCACCAATCTTGGGCTCAGACTTGGTGTCGGTGGCCATGTAGACGTTGCTCTGGCCGTTCTGGACCACGTAGTAGTGGGTGAGGGCAAAGTCACCGTTGCTAGCAGTGCAAGTAACCTTGACATACTTGTCTAGCCATTGGTTAGCATTTGGTTCGGATACAAAATCTACTTGGACTCACTGCGGATAGTGGTGTACGAGACGGTGGCCGAGCCAAGGCCAGAGGCGATGTGAGAGGTCTGCGACTTGTACTGGTACTCGGTACCGCGGTACTTGATGGAGTTGATGGAGCAGTCCTTCTTGCTGACAGAGATGGAGAAGCCGTTGGAGTTGCCAGAGTCAACGACGACGTTGTTGCCAGAGTCGGTAGCGCCAAAGGCTGCCAGAGCCGGGGCGGCGCCGAGAAGGGCACCGAAATACTTCAAGTTTACCATTTTCGGGCGACGATATCCAGATCAAGCGCGACTGGTAAATGAGAGACTAACGATTCGGAGACGGAATAAGCGAGAGAAACGAATCAAGAAAATAAAACGAGAGAATGTAGAAGCGATTGAATGTGAGCACACAGAGAGAGAGTTCACGACGGATGGCACCAGGTCAGTATATACATAGTTTCTAGCCTCATCGCGTCCGCAGCACATGCCCCTCGATAGTGGTCCTGACAGCTCCTGAGATATATCGGCAGGTCTTCGCCGATTGGAGGAGAAACCAATCGAGTCGCGCGCTCGGAGGAAATGGTGAAACGGGAGGGCCGAGACTGCTACTCAACCATCCACGACTAAACAGGGGTCAACCCATCCCTCCATGTGCCGAATGTAGGGCCGTCCGAGATGGCACCATGCCATGGGCTATATAGCTGGCTGTGTATAGAGCACACGCATTAAGGGTAGGAGCCGAACCTCCGGCTTGGTTGACTTTCTAACGGATTGAGCCGTTGACGGACGGAGCTTGGGATGATTTCCCAATATGGCATCATGGTCGACGGGTATTGGTGGAGATGGGGGGCCGCGTCTGATGCAACCCTCTTAACGGGTGCTCATTTATATGAACTAATAAGCGCTACAGTAGCAAATGCGAGATGGAACTTAAGTTTGTTAACTTCTCTGTTACTGTAAACTAATGACCCTATTCCTGTAGCTCTTTTGAGCCAGCCATAGTCCCCAAAGTCCATATCTATCCCTTACCATCTAGACATCAGATGACGACCAAATCCAAAACGCCGCCCAGCCATTCCCCTGTAGACCCCTAAACGAAAAAGCCCACAGCCGCCCAGAGCCCAAGAACAGCCACCACCATTGTCTTACTGATAGAACTCTTGGGTCCCACGCTCTGGCCTCCACCGCTTGTGCTGCTGGACTGACTATCGTTGTCATCGTCGTCGTCTTGTTCGTCCCCATCGCGTTCAATTTGAAAGTTGTAGTCGTCTGTGTATCCTGCGGGTGTGCACTTGGTCCCTTCTGACATGGCCATCTGTACGGACCAGTGTCCGGATGCGCATCTCTGGAATGAGTTGGTCATGCAGTGCCATTGACCCTCGGTGCTGCAGCCTGAGCCGGCCTCCTCGGCGCGCCTGACCAGTGTATGGGCGACAAGGTCCTTGGGAGGTGCCTCTGGGATGGTGAGGTCTGTTGAAGATGTTGCCAGAGATGGGAGGACGAGACATGAAAGGAGAATGAAGAAGATGGCTATTGTGGCCGTTGGCCGAAGACGGGAAGTAAAGAATTGCATTTTGGATCCGGTGCTCCGGGGAAGATCGGCAAGATCGGAGGCGGAGCCGGCGAGATGTGGGGAAGACGGACCGAAGCGTCTTGTAGACTTGCAAGATTCAACCTTGACTCGTCAGGATAAAAGGATAGGTTCGCATTCAAACTTTTCCAGACAAATTCTCCCAAGGGGACCTGCATTTAAATCATGTCAGGTCCCCCTCCTCTCCCCCTTTTCTCACATACCGCCTCGCATCATTGTTGGCTTGAGTGAATTGCTGCCCAGCGCCCATTTCTGTGCCGAAGAAGCGGTGGGGTCGACTCCCCAGGACGTGGATCAGTCTCATTGGAGAAGCCAAGGGTGGGAATCGCAGCAACAATGGTGAGATGGCTTTTCAAAGACGAGGTTCGAGGCCCTTTGTCACACTGCGTGACTTATTGTGGGTTTCTTTTTTTGCTTGTTAGCGGTGATGCCCTTTGCATAGGGTTGGGGTTCCTGATGCTGGGTGGTCGTGTGAGGGCTCGTGAGGCTGCCAATCAGGTGTTGTTTTTGTAAAGAGTGGGAATTTATCCTTCTGAGACAGCTGAAGGTGAGTTCTGCATCACTGGAACCATTGGTTGTCGAATCAGGTACCATCCTTGGCTGCCGGGGTGCACGTGTAAACGACAACTTGGAACTTGACGGTGTAGACGGAAGACGTGGACTGGCCCCAGTGTTCATGACGTTGTAATAATTAAAGTGATAAGTCGGGAACTCTATCCCCCTTCAAGAAATGAATATGTACTTGTCCATGTCAAGACGTGAAGCTATACTTCAGTTCATCACATAGCCCTCCCTGCCCAACCATGCCTAGAAGGATGACCACCCTTGCCAATCGTCCACCACCATAATATTTCGGGTCGTTCCATTTCGGGTCGTTCCCTCAGACATTCTCTGGCGCAGTCGTGGGATGGGCCTCCTTGAGCTTGCTCTTCTTGGCCCGTTTCTTGTAGGTGACGTAGGCGGCCCCGGCGAGGGCGGCGACGAAGAGTCCGACCATCACACTCAAGACGATGGTAATTGCCTTGGAGGGGTCTTTGGGCTTTTCGGATTCTTTTGCGGTGTCGGTGGTGCTGTTGACCCCATAGGGCTGCTCAAAAGGTCCAAACACGACGTCCATGATGCGATACTCTAATCGACAGTTTCGGTGGTGCTGGGGGCGGTCAGTAGCTGCCAATCTGCACAGGGGAGAAAGACGAACTATGTGAAAGTTATGACATATGCTGTAAAGGTTGTAAGGGCTTTTGGTCCCGTCAATATCTGGTGGCTTGTGGTGATAACCTTGCAGTTGGATGAAGTGAGCGAAGAGGGTTGAGCCATCCATCCTGCCTTGCTTGCGGGATGCACCGTATTTATCTTGTGGGCGAAAATGACTGCAACATTTGGTCATATTGAAGCTTAGCATTGTTCTTTAGACCTGTCAGTTTCAATTTTACTGCTGTTTCGCCACGTTTTGGTAGCCTGCGTAGTCTCCTTCATTCGCGCTAACATCCTTTGTTCTTTCGTTTGTAGTCAGAATAATCCATTGATACATCATTTAAGCAACCAACCAGGCGATCGGCCATATCCGCAAAGGGTAATACGGGTTGCTTGATGATCCACTAACAAAGCTCACCATGGCTGCCTAAGTTGTATGCCAGTTATCTCTTTGTTCACCAGACACTCTGCCTTGGTACCAGAATGGAGGATAAGGGCTCACATGAGAATGCTTACAACTGAATTGCTTGATATCTCTAGCTTATTTGTATCTATTAATAAGAGTTTGCTCTTGACGATTTTCTATTTCATTTCAAGAGCCCTACTGCCGGCTTAATCGTGAGCCTGCTGGCAGTGGAGCTGTAGAGCTTTCCTCTTGGGTAGGGTTAACAACGCAGCGAAAGGACCATACACTATTTGCCAGGCCTAAGGTTGCCTTAAGTTGGAAACGTTGGCCAATAGACAGGCGGACGAGCCCTCCGGGCGGGTTAAAATTGCAGTGAAGGATAAGCACAAAAGGTCAGCCGGAGGTAAGCCCCGTCACTTTGAAGATGTGATATCAATTGAAATTAAGTACTCATTACATATGGACAATACGGCCCAGCGCTTGGTCCGTATGCGCCTGTCCATGGGTCTATAGTGGTATGAAAATAAAAATGGTACAAAGAAAACCATTAGGATGCTCTCATGCGGACGCTATGCCATGGATCCATGTGCAGTTTCCCATTCGCCTTGCATGCCGCTTACCTTGCCTTTATCCTGTCCATTAAACACATGCTGAAACGTGAATTCAATGACCCGTCAACTTTTTCGTAAATCATTGTAGTGAATCAAACTGAGAGGACGGTGCCGTTCCAGCCCGCCGGGTAGGTGGTGTGCCACGAGCCATCATCCTGCGATTGCGCAGGAGGTGTTGGTTCAGGGGCTACAACTTGGGCAACCGAGGTGGTGGTGATAGAAGTGACGAGCGTGGTGAGGTGAATCGGAGCCTGAAAAGGCACGGTGACCGTCGGTTGAGGCTGGGGCTGAGGCTCGACCTGACTTTCATGGCCACCCACGCTGGTCTCTGGGGAAGGGTTAACTTCAACCGGGATGCCGTTGGGGACTGTCGTCTCCTGGAGAATCGTGGTAGTGTCGCTTGTCGTCAGTGTGGCGAAGGTGGTGGGCACGGGCGCCGGGATGGTAATGGTGCTTGTGAACATTGGAGGGTTAGGGAAAGGAGGAGGCTGAACCCTGGTCTCGGCAGGAGGAGCAGAGTTTACGCAGCTGGATGTCGTAGATGTCGTCGAGATCGTTGATGTTGTTGAGTCTTGGGTTGACTCCTTGGGTTCAGCGGGCGGACCTGGCAGTTGGGGTTCTGGTTCGGTGGTTGGCTCTGGAGCGGGAGCTGAGCTCGAGGTTTCAGAGGTAGCTTCAGATGTCGACTGGGTCGTCTCCTTGGGGGTGGTCGTGGTTGCTGGCTCGCTGGTAGGCTCCGGTTCCTCAGACGGCTTGGGCTTGGGAGCACTCGGTTCTGGGATAAAGGGTTCAGAAACACTGTGCTCAGGAGCCACGGTCACCGTTCGGGTGATTGGTTGTGGCTGTGGTTGTTCATCGACGTTGATGATTGAGATGGTAGTAGGGACGGCCTTGGTGACAGCTTTTGTGACCGTCTTTCCGGGGGCTGTGGCCGTGACTGTACTCGCGTCGCCTGTTTTCGTGACAACATGTGTGACGGGCTTCTTCGTCTTGACCACGGTCTGGATGACTGTCACGATTCCATCGCCGTCTTCGTCATCGCCATTGCCACTGCCGCTGCCTTGGCTGCCACTCTCACTGTCGTCGCTTCCTGAATCGTCGTCGCCAGAATCATTGTCGCCGGGTTCCAGGGGCACAACTGAATATTTGGGCTCGTCGGCAGGCTCGCGAGCAACGATGACTGGTCGAGGAAGTGCAGTGATGGTGGTGTAAGAGGCGGAGAGAGCCAGTAGAAGGGGGAGATACCCGCGCATCTTGACGAGGCTTCTTCGCCAAGGTAACTTTGAGTAGTGATTGCAGAATGATGGGGATTGTCCTGTGGTGTTGATATTTATGTGTTGTTGTTGTGGGTGTTTGCAGGTACTGGCACTGGCGGCTGTGAACAGCCGTCAATGCTACTTTGGCAGTGATGTTTGTGATGCACTGCTAAACGGGGAACGGACGTGAAAATGTGAGGTAGGTAGAGGAGAGTGATGCAGATTCTTACTTGAAATGAGAGAAAACTTGAAGGAAAAGGCTACAAACCTGGGGTGCCCTGAATTTAGTTTTAATCATTGCAATTGAGATGGCTGGAGGTTGGTGAATACACGGAGGTTGGAGGAGCCACGGCAGAAGGTGACTGGCGCAATTGAGACAGGGACTGCCGGGGGCTCGAACGTTTGTGCTTCAGCGGTTCAAGTGAAGGGGACTCACCAGCCACCCGCAATAGTCGTCTGCGCGCTGTGATTGGCTGATGCATCACCCGATGGCTTGACCTGCGTCTTGGGTTCAGCTCTTGGCCGAAAAAGACTGGAGCGCCCTTGCATTGAATGTTTGTGATATTTACCAGGGCCTCAGCTGCGATTAAGTTGCATCAACCCCGATTCCATTCTCGTCTGCTAAGACTTGGAATCATAACAACTTTGCCTTGCAGTTTGCCGCCGGATTGCGATACCACCCCAGGTTGCGTAAGTTTAGTGGCGGTGCTAGCGTCCAGTGGCGTATCCCAAAGTGGCTGGTGTGCCTGACTGAATCCGGAGTCCGGGACCCAAAGTCACGTTGACAGTGACGAAGTGGCCCAGTCTGAGGGACGGGTCAAGAGAAGCGTGATGAATGTTCCGCACAGCCTCGACTGATTTCCCACGCTGACGAATATCGGTTTTGATGGGTACAGTACATACAGTAGCAGAGACTTTTACTTCACTTAGAACCCTGGCAGTGACCTGCATGCACCTCTATTGTCGACATGTCACTGGGCGACAATGCGCCCAAGAACTGTCCGCGTCAGACACTTGGCCCGCAGAGCCCAGAATGCTTAAACATAGAACACCCTGCCTCTACGCGCGTACTGTACTTGTGTCCGTACCTGCTTCTGTAATGGATGGACTGGCTAGGGCAAAAAAGATGCGAGATCCCGTGCAGCGAGCCAAATGATGACGTCCAACCGATGCTCGGATTCTCATTCTGGCTGTTGTTGGGTTGGGCTAGGTTGTTGCTCCGCCTCCGAGCAGCCCACATCGTGACGGCACCACCATCCATAACGCCCAAGCCCAAGGCTGAGCAGGTGCGGCGCGTCTGGGCATTTTTCAGGTACCTACCATACCCAAGAGTGATCGCCTACCTACTTAATAAGAGAAGCCTCGTGCCACACTCGACATTGACTTTTCCCTGTTCCTCTTACTTTTTATTCCTTTTGAACTGTCCAACTCCAAAAGCGCATTTACCCCTCCATCACTACCGACCTATTCCGTTACCCCTCAGTGCGGACTTTGACATCTTGCGACAACAGACAAAACACTCATTTCCAGCTTCATGTCTTATCACGGACAGGGTTACGGTCAACCTTATGGCCGTAAGTTTGCTTTATTCTCCAGCTCGTACAGTTGAGCTTTTGCGACACTTGTCTAACACATGTTTAGAGCAGCCGCAAGGCTACGGCCAGCAGTATCCCCCTCCTCCCCCCGGTCAATATCCCCCACCTCAGCAACCGTACGGCGGTGGATATCAGCAGCAACAGGGAGGATATCCTCAACAGGGTGGTCATCAGCAACCTCAAGGCCATTATCCCCCTCCCCAGCAGCCTCCATACGGAGGATATCAGCAACCGCCTCCTCCTCAGCCCTACGGCGCCCCTCCAGGCCAATACGGTGCTCCTCCTCCTCAGCACCACCAACAGCCATATGGTGGTCATTCGCCCGCTCCGCCCGCGCCTTATGGTGCCCCTCCACCTGGTGCACCCTACGGAGCGCCACCTCAGCAGTATGGCGCGCCGCCAACACAGCCAACCCCGCCATCGCCAGGCTACGGTCCTCCTCAGATCATTCAATGGGACGCCAATCCGGATGCCCAGGCTCTTCGCAAGGCCATGAAGGGCTTTGGCACGGATGAGAAGGCATTGATCTCCATCCTCTCTAACAAGGATCCTCTACAGATTGACACTCTCCGTGCAGCTTACGAGAGAGCCCATCGCCGCAACTTGGTTTCTGACATTCAAAGCGAGACGAGCTCGTGGTTTGAAAAGGCATTGGTTCAATTGGCTCGTGGTCCCCTTTTGTCCGATGTTCACAACCTCCACGAGGCAATGAGCGGACCTGGCACCAAGGAACTTGTTCTCAACGATATCCTGCTTGGACGATCAAATGCCGACCTTCAGGCCATCAAAAGCGCCTATCACCACACATTCCATGATAAGCTCGAGAATGTTGTAAAGGGCGATCTCAGCATGAAGACTGAGCGGCACTTCTTGCTTGTCTTGGCTGCCAACAGGGCTGAAGATTCTGCCCCCGTGGACCCTCGCCAGGTTGACGACGATGTCATGCAAATCTACAAGGCCACCGAGGGCAAGTTGGGCACAGACGAGATTCTGGTCTGCAGCATCATGAGCAAGAGGAACGACAACCAGATCCGCGCTATTGCGCATACCTACAAGCAAAAATTTAACAAGGATCTCGAAAAGGTTATCAAGAGTGTAAGTTTAACTTCTACCGCGCACTCAACTCCATTTCTAACATGCGCAGGAATTCTCTGGCCACATGGAGGATGCACTACTCTTCCAGCTGCGTAATGCCACCGACAAGTACATGCACGCAGCCAAGCTTCTCGAGGACTCAATGGCCGGCATGGGCACAAAGGACCATCTTCTCATTGCTCGTGTTATCCGCTTCCACTGGGACCGCAACACACTCGCCAACGTCAAGGGAGCCTACCAGCAACGATACGGCAGAAGCCTGGGAAGTCGGGTCAAGGGAGAGACCTCAGGAGACTACAGGAGGACCATGCTGGCGGCGCTTGGCGAGCCCTGGTAAACCATTCAATAAGAAAAGAAAAAGAGATGGAAACAATGGGACAGTTAGGATGCAAGATTGCAAGTGGGATTGGGCTTCGCAGCCTCATTACGGCCGTTTTCTATGATCTGGCGTTGGGGACCTATTTGGCACTGCGGCTCTCGTCTGGGACCTGCTTGGGGCAACGGCAGCATAACTTAAGATACCAGATATTAAAGTCATTTCGTTCCTCAAGTCGCATCCTTGTCTCGTATTAACTCTCTAGATATTAACAACTTTAACTAACAAAATTTATTGTCACACCCCAAGTGGGTAGGCCAGAGCTGACAAAGGCGACAAGCTTATAACCTGTCATTCTGTTAGAGCAGGATTGCTAAGTGGAGCCACTGCTGATTGTCCTACAGCCATTGAGTTAGCTTTTACTGCGAGCAGTAAGTCAAACAGACAAACTATTAACATTTGGTATTAATTGTTTATAAACTATTAGCGCACAGTTGATTGATATGTGTGAAAGAATAAGAGGACTAGTACCTTAATAAATGTTTTCACGTCTCAAAGAGAGGCAGAGGTCTATAAAAGGGAGAGGCACATGTGATGCCTTTATTACACACGTATGTTAGTATTTTTATTTCTAAACAGGCTATAAGAGCTAGGCCTGTGATTAGTCACACTATATAAGCTGTGGGGCAGTTAATAAAGATGCCCTATAATTCAGGCACTAACACGAGCTCGTGGTGCTACTTAGCTGCGTTATAGCGCATGAAAAACGCGCTAGCGAAGTTTTATAAGAAAAATGGCTCCCCGCTCCACTGAATAACGCGCCTTGCCTCTCTCCCGCTCATGATCCCACGCCTCGGCGCGCGCGCACAGACAGCCTAGACCCAGATCACCTTCTGACTTCTCAGCACAGCAGGTGCAGGGACGCGTTCTGGTGAAGACTTCCTCTTTGCAGAAGGGGCTGCTCAATTGAACATTGAACATCTGTAATCTAATCTCTCTTTTTTTCTTCTTTTTTTTTTTTTTTTTCTCTCTCTCTCTCCCCCATCCTTTTCATTCTCAAGCTTCGTTTGCCGCATGCGCGCTTCTCCCTTTTTCTAATCCATCCATTGATATCGATGGTCGCGGAATCATCCACCTCTATCGACACGCTCCTCGCATCCCTGCAGGATCCCGATACTTCTTCCGAGGGCGAAGCCAGGCGCGACGCCTTTGCACAGTTTGTATCGGAAACGTTTGCAAAGGGCAACATGATGGCACTGCCGGCTGGTGTGCCTGCGCACAATGGCGTGAATCGTACAAACGGAGCTGAACAGGTTGCATCTCCTCTGACTGCCCCCACGACGCTCTCTCATCCAACTTTGCCTAATGGTCACTCTACATCGAGTCGAGCTTCAAGTGCTTCAGCCAACTCTGCGCATGTCGCGTCGATGGAGAGGGACATTGCACCTGTTGCGTCGATGGAGAGGGCATCGCAGGCTGGCTCACCAGCCCAATCCTCCCCGCTCGCGCAACACAAGTCACCTCCAGTGCATAGAGCCGCCCTCAACCAAGGTTCTCATCAACCCTCTCAGGCGCCAAACGGTTTTCAGCACCAGCCATCCCAGGGACCTCCACAGCAGGTTCAAGTTCATGGGCACGCTTCACCACCAGCTCAGGCCATGACGATGAGCGCTGTGCAACAGACAAACGAATATCAGCAGTTGCTCCAGCTCATCACCAACTCACCCGCAACCGCCGTCCGTCAGGCTATTAGAGATAAATGGGACAAGGCCTTGATGGGTTCACAGTACCACATCGCTTTCCTCGTAAGTCTTACATTTCCTATCATTCACAGCCTCAACTATGTTATCATCTCGTCTTCGATCGCACTTATTCACCGTCGCCTACTTTATTTCATCCCCTCTCAAGTATCAGCTAACACGCCCGACAGTTGAATGCAACAATGCATCAAGCTAGCCCCGAAACCCTTTCTCGGGCTGTCCGAGGTTTCGGTCAGAAGCTGGTGCAAACTTCAAAGCGAGAGATAATGGAGCATCTCAGCCCGGAGGACTTTGATGAGCTCGTGGATCTGATACTACCTCGCGTTAGTAATCAGTTCCTCGACAAGGCACTTGCGAGACGCCTAGAGACGATACCAGCACGACACCTCGTGAATGCGTTGGCACGGGCTGAGCGACTGGGGTACGATGTGCAGGATATCGTCCAAGAGCAAAATGGCGAGCATGTCATTCCGTCACTGCATTCAATCTCGTTGCCTCCTAGTTCACAGCCAACTCAAACAATGGTTGTGAAGCAGTACCAGCCAACGCCACCTGTCCAACAACAACCGCCACGGGTAATGCAACAGACTCAACCAATGGTGCCTATGACTGTGCCCCAGGCCATCCCACATCCTCCAGGTGTGGTTTATTGCCAATGTGGCTGGCCTTGCACCTCGAAGGAAGCTCTCGACTATGTGAGTTGGAAACGTCAAGTCTCGCAAAGTCAATCTCGCTAACATTGAATAGCACCTGAAAAAACGAGCCTGCGACAAGGTCAAACCTGAGGATCAGGCTGGCAGAGACATCTGCCTACATTGTGGGTGTAGGTTTGGCAGCGGTGGTGGCCTGCTATACCACGAGAAGTCCAACGTCTGCGGGACATACAATGCCGAGACTGGAGAACAGATGCGGAACCTGATCGCTGCGTTCCGCCAGCAATCAGGCTCCGGGCAGCATACACCGGCTGCTCCAACTCCACCTCCTCAGGTGAGAAACGTTATGAGCCAGCCACCACCCCAATCAACTCCAAACGTTGCATCTCGCTGGACGGCCTCCCCACAACCCTCGCAACAGCTACCAAGCGGCACGCCAGGTCGTGATCCATATGCACATCTCACGGAACAGAAACGAATCGAGTTTGAGACCAAAATGAGAGAGGCTGAAGAACGATATGGAAAGATGATGAGGGATGCCATGGAGTTGCCGGAAGCCGAGAGAGGAATGCGTCTGGCAAGCCTCAAAAACAGCTACAATACCAAGATGAGCACGACACGCAAGAAGTATGGCATTCGGCTCCGCGAGAGGCGAACCAAAGAACAGATCGCGGCCGAGCAAGCTCGAATCATGGCCCCGTCAAGCAACAGCGCTACGCCAACTCGTGATAGCGAGTCTCGTCCGAACAAGAGACCGAGAACTGATGCTGAGGAACCAGCGGCTACAGGAGGACCCAACGGTCAACAGGACAGTCCCCGCAAGAGAATTCCTGTGTCAGAAATGGGTGGATTGTCGGGGTCACAGGCGACGGCTGAGCTCACTGATCCGACAACCCAGCTCAACCCAACGCAGCCTCGATATGTGCCTCCAAAGTCGTTGACTGGCACAGGCAGACCGCAGTCCAAGATGGGTGAGACACCGGATCCCGCCCGACAAGGGACCAGTGCATCCCTAGTGGGCACCCAAGCAGATCCCATGTCGATCGATGATGATTCGGAGAGCGATAGCGACAGCGACAGCGACAGTGATGACGACGATATCCCAGCTACCCTTCCCTAATGTTACGGAACAGCGAGCATGAGCATAGGAGCAATGGCGTTTGGGTTTGCATGCATTAGATACCCCGGAAGAGGCAAGAAGGGACGATAACGGGTACGTTCCAGTGCAACGGGGATGGAGTTTTGACATTCAACACATGTGATGATGGGACGGGGCATGGGAAACAGGAAACGGATCTGCGACCAGGGCCTGCGCGCGAGCTTGGCAGCGGCAGGTCGATAGAACCACGATGAAACTGAGGAGAGGAGGGTGGTTCGACATGGGCACGACAGGGAGCTGATCACACATGGGTGCCAGACTCGATCACATTGCTATCACACGGAAATCTGGCACCCGAATAAGAAAGATCTTGAGGTATTTGGTAGTACGTCCTGTGACGGCGTCCTAATTCACAGTTGATAATACATGGTTAATGAGACAAGTTGATGCCCAACGTGAGGTGCACAGTAAACGGAGTGGTCTGGCAGGGCACATAACCAGCAAAGAACCTCGGTTTCTATTGATGCGTAGAATTGATTGGTGACTGGGTGGTGTCGTCGTCAAAGTGAAGATGCAAGCACTTTACTCGAGACTATAAATGTTTCATGAACTGCAAGAGGTCGTGTCGCGCGGCTGCCAGGAAAAGAAAAGACGAAAAGTTTCGGGTTCTGGGCCGATGACGGCGTGAGCAAAGTTTTAGTTTCCAACGTCGAAACCGCCCGTATCCTGCTTTAGGAAACCGTGAGAGGCGACGGAGGTTTCAGCAGCAGCAAAGGGGGGAAGGCACCTACAGATGTGTGTGTGACTTCCCTCTAGGCGCCGACTACGGGTTCACGGGACGTTCCTCCCGTCCGGGGTTCCATGTGGAAGCCCGCACTTCTAGTGGAGATGCCCACTGCAATCTTGGACCGCCAAACCGCTGATCGGACAGGAACAGAGCCTTTGTGCGGCTGGTTTGAAACGCCAGATGATGGAGATGACCACTCACAAGAGTGGTGTTGCGGGTTTTTTTGTTTTTTTTTTACTTTGACTCTTTCCGTTGTTCCTTCTTTGGACTGCTTCCAACTATCGCGAAGTCTTCGTATCTGACGGTGCATTGTCATCTCGGCTACCTATTCGCCAGGCCTCAGGACTATGCCGCCAAGGTGTCCCGCAGGAACAGACGGCGGCGGCTTTCATCACTTGCAGCGCTCGCATATCTTCTGCATCCCCCAGCAGGAGATGATGCAAGGTCCCCCAGATAAGCTCAACGCTGGCTCACGCGAAGCGCACTGCAAGACAGCGACGATCCCTACGACTTGACTCGACACGAGAGCGCCCAGTATTCGCGGTCCACGCTTCCCTCTTGCGTCTCCAGCTCCGACTGGCTGCTCTGGCGCCGGCGCGGGTCCCTGAGCACGTTCGGTTCGCCTGGCAAAGTGTGACGGGCGCTGGGCTGGCTGCAAGGGTCTGGCTGCTCACTGGAGGGAATTTCTTGCGCCAGAAGGGCGTTTTGGATCCGGCGACTTG